CAAATGGCAGAATTTCCTTCTTCCTCATGGCTGAATAACATTCCATTGTATATACATATCTTCTTTATCCATTCATCTGCTGAAGGACACCTAGGTTGTTTCCACATCTTAGCCATTATGAATAACGCTGCGGTTAACATGGGCATGCAGATGTCTTTTCAATATCCTGTTTTCATTTCCTTTGGATATACCCAGTAGTGGATCACTGGGTCACATGGTAGTTCTATTTTTAATTTTTTGAGGAAGCTCCTACTGTTTTCTAATTTGTACCCATTTGCATTCCCACCAATAGTGCACAAGAGTTCCCTTTCCTTCACAACCTCTCCAATACGTGTGATCTCTTGTCTATGTGATGATATAGGATGACTTTTTCAGTTGGAATTCCTGAACCACAGTTAGTATAAATTCTAGCCCACCTCATGAATATAGCTCAGACTTTTCTGTTTTTCATTCAGGGTCCGGAACAGCTTCTCCAGGCAGTGAACATCGTGTATCATGTCCCCTGTCCCAGCCTGGGCAGCCTTTCTTAGAAGCTGACTTTATGCAGCAGTCATGGTTCTAAGTCATCACTTTTCATCAACTTTAGACCAGTTCTCAAACACTGACATGGGCCCATAAATCCCAGTCTCAGTCTTAGGGATTTATATCCAGGTTCAATATGATGCTGGGCCACTGCAATGCAAGCTGAAGCTCACTGCTCTGATAGTATTTAATTGGTTTGATTCTATTTTATCCAGAATTTCACCAGTGTTCAATGGGAGGAGGATCTGTGCTAAAGGACATGAACTTCATATATGGGTTAAACTCTCTATGTAGGTTTTATTGAATATGACAAGTATGATGCTTACCTGCTGCTAACTGTGAGATTCTCTCCATGCATTTTAGTTTAAATTCTTTAACAGAAGTCATCTCAGTTCATCCCCCTCTGCTCAGAGCTTTCCTTTTTTAGAGACCTTAATGGCCACTATCCCAGGCAATGAAATGAGGGTCATTGGGTTAAGATGCAGTCAATTGTATATTAGAGAATGAAAAACACAATCTTCCCTACCCAAGGAACAGCCTACGAATTTCACTTTGGGGAGTGGGTGTGGGGAAGATATCTACTCCCAGAAGGGGCTTTTGTGACGGCAGGCATCACAGATGGCATATCTGGCAGATGCCTCTCCATGATATTCATGTCTCCATGACATGTCCTCCTTCCTATTTGTGTCATTCCAATACCATTTCTGCCTAACATGATCCAGTTCTCACATGTGCCACCCCAAATCCACTTACTCCTCCCTCCACACAGATGGAGGAAACAATTTCCAATGACTACATTAGGAAGTACTGGCTTCTCAACAAATATAATATTCTACAATAATAGATCACAAATTCAACCATCACTCCCACTCAATATACAGTAATGACAATAATAATGAAAAACAACAATTCTTCTTTAAGAAAAGTAAAAGGAAATTTCCACTCCTTGATTTCAAGAGCAGGCTAGAATGAGATAATATCATATATTAATTGCTATCTGGTCCAGAAAATGTGTTGCCTCTGTTATGTGTACATAGATATGGATTGTATATATGTGTAATCAAGTTGGAAACAGTGGTTCCCCTAAGGTGGGAAAGCAGGTGATCAAAGGGAACTTTAGTTTTAAATATAATGTCCAATGATTTTGGTCTATGAAGCATTTCCTATCCCTGATCACCATACCTATTTTGCTGCTTTAGTTTAATGGCTGTCACCTGAGGAGTTGCCCTCCCTCCCCAAGGGGGCATCTGGCATTATCTAGAGATGTTTTTTGTTGTCTCAATTAGGAGTTGCTACAGGCATTTAGTGAGTAGAAGCTAGGGATACTCTAAACATCCTATGATCCACAGCACAGCTCCCCACAACAAAGAATTATCCAGCTCAAAATGTCAATAGTGCCCGTTGTGAGACACTCTGATCTTGTTTATCTATATGAGCACACCCTCGAAGCTTTGATTACACAACGCCCAGCATTTCAGATCATCTCACAGCCTTCTTGTACACTATGATCCCCCAGGGATTTTTTTTGTATGAGTCTTTCTTCTAGGTTGTAATGGCTTGATCAGAGAAAAAGGTGATAGTTTTAGGGCGTGCTTCATATTTGTGACGGATTATCATAATCAGTCAAAAAGAGGAGCTTAGTAAAGACTAATCCCTTCTGGGGCTGGCCCAGTGGTGCAGTGGTTAAGTTCACACACTCCACTTCGGCAGCCTGGGGTTCGCAGGTTCAGATCCCAGGCATGGACCTATACATCGCTCATCAAGCCATGCTTTGGAGGCATCCCATGAACAAAGGAGAGGAAGATTGGCATAGATATTAGCTCAGGGACTGTCTTCCTGACCAAACAAACAAAAAGCAACTAATGCCTTCCACTTTCCACAGATGTTCCCATACCTGTCATACAGGGAATTGCTTTGAGCAAAAAAAAATGCAGCAAGGTTCTCTGATTTCTTCTGATGCAACTGTTTGGCAATGGACACTGTCAGCTGTCAGATAGAAGCACTTCCTCTAACACAAGTCTTTTGTTGCTTTGAGGAGGACATTCTGGACTTTAACTGTAAATTTCCTACTTCTGTAAATTAAATCATCCAGCTCTTCTCTGTTTTCTTCCCTACACCCTTAAAATTGTTGCTTTGCAACTGTTGCCCATAACCTCATTTTTGGCCACATGGTATGACCACCAAGAAAACACAGTTTTGGAATAAGTGGAACATTCTCAATACTTTCCAGCCAAGATGTCTTAACTAATTGCAAAATCTCCACAGTCTTGGTCATTTCCTATTTCACAAATCTCTATCCCTGGTAGTAAATTCTCTGTTCCTTGAATTTCTCCAGTTGCAAGAAATAGACTCACATGTGCTAATTCAGGTAATGAGGGGCTTGTAATTCCAAGCATATCCAAGAATAAGAACAGGACTGAAAGAGACAGCTTGAAGGTCATTACGGATTCGAGATAGCCACAGGAATCTTCATAACCAGAGATTATGAAATGTCAATAGAGTAATCCACCAATGATAGAGACTCAGCTTCTTGCTCTTCTTTGCTTATCATTATATATAGTCTCGCTTCTTCCTCCAATTAACTGGCTACAGTGCCCACTGCTTGATACATCTTTTCACAACCTACTCCTTCTGCCTTCTTAAAGCTTTTGTTTACTTCTAGCTTTAATTTTCCCCATGGCCTATATTGTCCTTCCTGCCTCATTGCCTGCCTCTGTGCATCTTTTTAGCTTCCTCTGTATTTTCCAGTTCAGTTTCCAGAAGGCCAAAGCTTGTGATTTGTTTTATCTCTTCCATCTGAACCAAATCTTCTACAACCAACAACACATAGGCTGAATGTACTATGGTCTTGTACCTATGATAAAAATTATGGTCAACCTTACATTAAGAACAGCTTGGGTTTTTATCCCTCAGGAGGGCAGTTTCTGATGAAGCAGTTATGAAGATTTCATGAAAAGAATGCATAGAGACAGGTCATGATGCCATTGGAGCCCTGAAGAAGCCAACTTTGTGTGGGAGCAAAATCTGTGAGTAAGCATATGACCAGCGGAAGAGAAAGTGCCTTTCAGAGAAGAGAGTGGAGAAGTCAGCCATAGTAGGAACAGTAGCAGCGCACAAAGTGCATAAAGACAAGGAGAGACCCAAAGAGGGGCATCAAGGTAGCAATCCAAGATATTCTGCTGCTCAGATTCCTAGAAATGCATGGCTGCAGTTCATCCTTCAAGTGGAGACAATGACTGAGTAAACCCTAAAGCGGTCTCTGTTTTTGGATCCTTGTTTCTTTTCTAACCATGGGCACCCTCACTCTAAAAGCTCCATACTTGTGCTAGCCTGATTTGAATGTCTATTCCTTGCAGCCAAAAAAACTAACAGATGCCATGTGGTTAGTAAATGGGCAATTCTTAGTTATCTAATGGCTGATAAAAACACAATAAAAGTGCATCAGGGACAAAGAACATAATTATCCAGGCAACAGGAGTTGATTTAACAGTGACTGGCTGTCATTGGTTGTGGGCCCTCTGCTAGGTAGGAGAAGAAGGAACAAGACCTGTCCAAGGACACCAGGCTCCAAAGCCCCTCACTCTCAGTTTCAGTCAGGGCAGTTCTTTCTACTCCACCTCCTTTCCTGAGGTAGATCAGCCCAAGACTTAGTTTCTCTGTCCTTTCCTGAGGATATGGGAAGGGCTCAGTAATCTCACTATTCACTTGGCACCTAATTTCTGACCCAAGATGGAGAGGTGAACATATAAAGTTCTTAAGTTCATAAATCAAATAATCCCAATCTGAATAATGGCGTATTAACTATAATTTTGTCTTAACCATAACTTTGGGTTTTCTGTAGATTTTCTTCCTCCCTCATAGAGCCCTTCCCCTAATATCCCACCACCTCACCTATGCCTCGACTTGCATTAATTAATTTCTATTAATGTGGAATTAATTGTAAATGTTAGATATTTTAATTTCTTTTATGTTCATTAATATTCCTATTACATAACTTTGTCCAGTATTTCAAGCACGACTAAGGAGAACGTCTCAGTTGTTTGTATCTTCAAAGGTATCCTCTGTTTATGAGAAAACAAACAATGTATATGAAATGATGTTTAGCCTCACTTCACATGAAATATATGTCAAATTTTTATACATATTTTAAGGATTCCGACAAGTTAGGAGGACTTGCCCTTTTACAAGTTACTTGTGGAAATAGTTGTTTCTGGGTAAGAGGCCAACCCCTACCTATAAGTCAATGTCAAGGTGGAGGTAAGGGAACTGACACAAACCACAGACCAGATAAGAGTTTAACAGATGAGAGAAGTCAGAGTCAGGGATGAGCCTGAGATTGAAATGTCCTGTGGGGGTTTTCAGAAGCTTAGGATGGGCACTGAATTTTTTTACAGGTCAGGGAACAAAGTTACCTAGATCTCATAGAGCAGAGAGCCATCAGTTGATATCTAAACTACTTACCCTAAGACTACAATAAAGAGAAGTTCATCACAGCTTTATTTATAAGAATTAAACTTGCATACAGCCAAAATGTCGGACAATAGTAAGAAGGTTAAGTAAAAACCATGATAGTACATCAAAGGGATGCAATGCAGTGGTTACATAATAAAAAAGTGCCATATTGACAAGGGAAATGGTCATGAACTGTGAAGTGAAAAAGTACAAAAATATGCTCACTGATGTCACATTTGAAAAAGTACTCATAAAAAGCACATTGAATATAGGTAGGCCAAAATATCTACTGTGGTACTTTATTACAGATTCCTATTATCTTCATCCACATAATTTCTATGTATCCTAAAATTAGCATAAATTTATTTTATAATAAGAATATATCATCGTTTAAAAGCCATACTATATAATTCACCCATCAGATTGTTAGATCTTCTTATAGTCAATGTCACATCAAATTGATACTTAATAATGCTTAAAAATAGCTGATTTCATTAAAGTAGAGGTTAAAAAAACCTAAAATGTTTTATCTGTAAAATGTGCTTAGCATTCAGCCTTAGTGATATAATAAAAAGCTAGTCTAACATTATGTGATTTTTGAATTAATATTAAGCCCAAAATAGACCTATATTAGTGACTAATTTACATTTGATTATGTTAATTTTGTCTAGTAACTTTGCCTATCTTCGCCTCTCCCCTCCATTTTAAAATTTAAAAAGCCATTGAAAACCTTAATCATCATTGAATGCTTAACTACTGAATATTTTGTTTTGTTAACTGCAGCAATATGAAAGATCCTTCTAGAATTATGGAAACGAACAATGTAGTAAGCCCTAAAATCTAACGTTAAGAGGTTCAGGGTTTTAAGGCTCTTCCTGTGGGAGGAGCTTCCATCTAACTGTTGCATCAACTTCATCATCCAAATTTCCCAGCTCCAGCTCTTTAGAGAGTTCTAAGAATACCTAAGTAGGAGAAAATAAATAAGGAAACAAAAGTGTCAGGGTCTTTCTGAGAGAAGGATGCACATGGAGATTCACACGAAGCTTATCTGGATGATGCTCTCTGGTCTAAAGAAAACTCACCTGTTCCAAGGTAGCCTGAGAGAGGCTGTAATCTTCCAGATCGAAGGTCTGTTTCACTGCATTTAGAGGGACTGACATTAATGGCTTCCATGTTTTTCACCAAAACTGCTTTCAAAGTATGCAACACAAACAGCCCCTTCAAATCCTGAGATACTTTAAGATACAGGCCAAGTCATTGAATTTTCTTGAAGGATAAATTAAAGCAGTGTGCTGATATGACTAATCAAAAGACAGCAATGGACGGACGTATGAATTACCAGGAAACTTTTTCTTTAAAGAGCTCCTTGTGACTTATTTCAGTATTTCATCTTTTGATTATTACTGAAGTATGTCGTGGACTCCAAATCAACTGTCAAATATTGCTTTATTCTGTATTTGTCAATCTATGGATGAGTACACTCCATGGTGGTTTCCTTCTAATGAATCCCACATTTTCACAGGTCAAGGCCTCATAAATACCCAGTGTGAGCTCTAGTCAGTGTTTCTGAAACTAGCTCAGATCCTCCTCCCCAATCCTGACTTGTCACATCTCACCCTTATGTGTTTTTCTTCTCTGAGCTTCACTGGGGCCTCCAATCATTGGCTCCATAGTCTTGCTCCTTATATCTCTGACTTTGATAAATATGCAGATGCTAGAAGCTCGGCTTGGTGTTCTTTGGGAAAACATGCTGATAATTACCCTCCAACGCCATGCAATGGAACCAGGACAGAATGTTCTGACTTACTTGCAGCTGGGTGTCCTTGCTAGAAGCGGAAGAATCAAGTGGAGTAAGCCTAAGTCTAGGGCCACCACTCCATTCTCTTCAGGATTTTTAAGACTCTTCCAGTAGAAATTTTCCAAGTTTTTAATTATTACGTAATAATTCTACTTGAAATGATATAGCATGCATTCCACATGAAAACATGTACAATACACACAGTCTTAAAAATGTCTAAACTTACCTGCCTCTAATTTGAAAAAGGCCTGGGATAGAGGGTGCACATTTTCCACAGGTAATTTATACGCCATCATGGAGGAATACCTGGGAGGAGGAAAGAGTGAGATGTGCTGCGTTTCAGTGTTACAGTATTGACAAGGAATTGACAGGCAAAATAACAACAGAATTTTTCAAAGCTTTCTTTAAATAAAAAGGTCAATAGTTTAATTTGATAGAGCATGAATCTGAGCCAAATAACTTATCTTTAGTCATAGAAATTTGATAACAAAAATCTGGTTGCTCCTAATTTAATGTTCAGGATAAATTCTGAAAAATACCTGTAATAATCTTTCATACTCAGCCTATGCTGTCTTTCTGACTGTGCTATATTTCTTGCTCTCAAAAGCCAATCCTTCATCACGCTCCCTGGAACCTTTTAGTCAAATTTTCCCCTCTACATTTACTTTTCAATTTCTCCTATAAGAATTAACACCTGTTGAACTCTCTTCTATTAAAGACAATTCTTTCTTGATTTCCAGGTCCTTTCTCCCCAAATAAATTCATTCATGACTTCCATGTTGCACAGTTCAATGAACACCCTTTAGTCCTTATTTTTTAGACTTCTAAAAAGCATTAAGTAAACCCTCCTTAAACATACACGCACACAGACACTCTCTCTCTCTCTCAGCTTTTGAGACACTTTTATGATTTTCTTTCTAACTCTCTAGACCTGCTCTGTTTAATACGCTAGCTACTAGCTACATGTGGCTATTTAAATTTACTTTAACTAAAATAAATAAAATTTAAAATTCAATTCCTTGGTCACACTAGCCACATTTGAAGTGCTCAGTAGCCACATGGGGGTATTGGCTGCCATATTGGACAGCATAGATATGGGACATTTCCATCATCACAGAAATTCTATTGGACAGTGCAGTTCTAGACACTCCTTAGTATTTGTCATTATGGCTGTTGCTGTGGGGGTGGTAGTTTCTCCCACCAGCTTTTCTCTTCAATCCAGTCTCAACACCAAGAGTTCCTGGGGTCCATCCTAGACCCCCTCCCCTTGCTGTCCCCCTTGTTGACCTCAGTCATTCTCCTGGCTTAATGGTCTTATGTATAGCAAAAATGCCCCACTTTGTTTATTGCCAGACCAGATCTCTCAGTTACCTTTCATTTTCTTCTGAACCACAGCCTATATCTCTATATTTTGGCAACTCCACTTGGATATCTCTCTACATTTCAACTCCATGAGCTTTCTTTCCATCCTTTGCATGTATAAAGTTCATTCTTGACTTAAGTTCTTTATACATGCTGTTTCCTCAAAAGAGTGGCTCTTATTGCATTCTTCAGCTGGTGAAACCCTGCTCAGTCTTAAAGTCCTACCTTAATGTCATGTCCTCTTCTATTCATATCTTTATTTCCTTAATATCTTGCCCCCAAAACATTGGAAGCACTATATAAACCCTGTCTACTTATTGACTACTCAACGTAGTCTCTGGCACATAGTAGGTGCTGAATAAAAACTATTTTAAAAACTGAATAGAAGTAGTACATAAGAAAACTCTGGGGCTGGCCCACTGGCACGGCAGTTAAGTTCACACAGTCCGCTTCTCGGCGGCCCAGGGTTCGCCGGTTCAGATCCTGGGTGTGGACATGGCACCGCTTGGCAAAAGCCATGCTGTGGTAGGTGTCCCACATATAAAGTAGAGGAAGATGGGCATGGACGTTAGCTCAGGGCCAGTCTTCCTCAGCAAAAAGAGGATTGGCAGCAGTTAGCGCAGGGCTAATCTTCCTCAAAATAAAAGAAAAAAAAAAAGAAAACCCTGTACATCTTTCAGTTAAATTCATCCTCATTCCACTATTCACATGGGTTTGGTTAACCTTGCTTGTAAACTATAGCTGACCACATACAACTTTAAGAGAACCATAGCAATTAATTTAGAATACAGTCAATCTTTCTGAAGCATGTGACTCTTTAATGGAGCTCATGATGCAATTTTATATTAGGTAAAATGCTATTGGTTGACAGAATTTTCACTATTTAAAAAAACATTAAATTGATGGTTTAGTTCATCTGTACTTTGTTCCTAACCTCTAAGTTATTCCACCATTTACACACACACACACAGTCCATTCACCTTTTCTGAGGTGTGAAACACTCACTGAAAATGACTTTTGAATTGCTGTCTTTTTTTCCTACACATCCTAGTGACCTCTAAACAACTTGTTCTGTAATAAACAAGCCTGCTCAGCCTTTCTCTCCCTGTCCAGACTAATACAAGACTAAGTGATGTGTGCTGGAAAACCCTCATACTTGTCACCCAAGCCAACAACCTCCTTTACCTTTCCTGCCGAGCGGCCTGTGGAAAAAGCTTCAGAATCTCTGCGTGGAGAGGTTCCACCTGAGTGAGTTCCTTCATTTTTACTTCTAGTAAATAATCTTTACCAAACTTGCTTTTCAGATGTTGAATGGAACCAATACACCTAGCCCAGGGAAGAGAAAGAAGAGTTGAAAGAACAAATACTTGTCTCTTAATTTCTTCCTCAATTGCAAATGCAGAGGAAGGCGCTGGATCATAGATCAAGGAGCTGAAGAGCATCGGCTGTTCACAGTGAACCAAAATTCTCTCTTCAAGAACTTGGGGGTCAAGTGCTGGCTCTCGACAGGCTCCCACCTCAGCTTTCCAGAAACCATGATGGCCACACGGTCACACACCGCCTCAGCCTCTGCCATGTAATGGGTGGTCAGGAGGGCGCCCCTCTCCGTGTTTTTAACAATGGTCCGAATTGCCTGCCTAAAGATAAAGGAAGGAATTGTTTGCACTTAGAAAGTAATTTGCAAAAATAGATGAATGGGAATAAGTATGAAGTCTACACAGAAAATTTTACATTAGGTTATAAGAAAAAATCTTTGCTCTAGAGAGAAAATATAAACATTGTACCACATTATGTAATTATATTACCACATTAATAGTCTTCACAGAGTGAAAAGCAGAAGATTGGGAAATAGTAAAATAATGTTTCTTTTTAAAAAAGTTGAAATATAGAGAAATATCACATAGTAAGATTTTCAATAACTGAAAAATAAAATAGAAGAAGGAGGCAGGGGGAAGGGAAGAGAAAAAATCCAATCAAATATATTCAAGAGTCCACTTGATTCTTAAGATGTCTATTTTTCCTTCCTTGAGGAATTCTGAATACTCTTGAGTTTCACAGAACTGAACAATAGAGGATGTGAGCCTCAAAGGTTAATGGAGCAAATGTGAAAAAAAAAAAAAAAAAAAGGAAAAACAATTAACTGTAGCATCACACTATTGACTCAGACACTTAAACGACTCCCCTCACCACATTTGCTGCTGCCCCTCGGGGTCCATCCCGGTGGACGGCTCGTCCAGAACCACCACTGATGGGTTTCCCAGGATGCTCAGCGCGAAGCACAGCTGGAACGAGAGGAACAGCGCGTGTGGCACCCATCGCGGGGTGCGCAGAGTAACACTGAGCCCCGCCCCTACCTTCCTCTTTATTCCCTCCGACAAGGCCTTCACGAGGAGATTCAGCTGGTCTTGCAGCTTGAGCGCGTCCACCAATCTGACAAAAAACACTGCGATTATACATGAGGCACACATGTCCCTACCTAAAACGATATAGAAAACCCCAGCCCTACCAATCTGAAAATAGCACACTTAGGGACCATTAACATTGTCACCAACCAACACTAAATCCTATGATTTAGTTCTTACTCAGATTTTCAATCATTTTATTTGCACGAAAGTTTAAAGACGTCGTTTAGGATCTCCTTTCCATATTGCGTGAAGAAATGACAAATTCTTCCCTTCCTCCAGCTACAAAGTATGAGGGAGGCTTTTCTCTGTACCTTAAAATACTTAGAGCGGCATCCTCTTTGTCCAGTCCTTTCACTGCCGCATACAACTCCAGGTGTTCTTTCACTGTAAGACTGGGCCACAATGGGTTCTCCTGAGGACAGTACCCCAAAAACTTGACAAGGTCATCTCCCTGTGGGCTTGGTGATGCTCTGCAGCCTTGTAAAACCACCTGCATAGGACAATGAATTTCAAATCCACTGCCAGCTTTTGCTCCTATCCTCCATCTACTTCTAAAGGAGATAAAAGTGGCCATTAACATGCAATATTTTTTGAGTACGAAACAGATTTTTTACAAATTCTTTCATCTATTTATTCATTTTCTAAAAAAATCATTGGATTTACTGATAGGAATAATATAAGGATGTCATTGATATTTAAAATGAGATTTCTCCTGGCAATGAGCTTGGTTCCGTCACGTGTCACATACCACTCCTGCGGTGGGCTCTGTGTCCCCGGTTATCATTTTAATAGAAGTACTTTTACCAGCTCCATTGTGTCCCAGTAGTCCCAAAACTTCACCTGGGAGAAAGAGTCACCATCAATGTTTGTACTTTATTTATTTATTTGTTTGTTTGTTTGTTTGTTTGTTTTGAGGAAGATTAGCCCTGAACTAACTGCTGCCAATCCTCTTTTCGCTGAGGAAGACTGGCCCTGAGCTAACATCCATGCCCATCTTCCTCTACTTTATATGTGGGATGCTGATCACAGCATGCGGGCCAAGTGTTGCCATGTCCGCACCCGGGATCCGAACCGGCGAACCCCGGGCCGCCAAGCAGCAAATATTTGTACTTTAAATGTTGGCTAACCTAAAGTTGCTTAGCTTAGAAACATTTTGAAACAAAATAACATTTTCAAACAGCACATTCATAATTTTCTATATTACAATGTTAATGGAAAGACTGGATTTACAGTAGAATAATTTGGTCTTCCTGATCCAAGATCAGGTTTCTTGCCATTTGAATTGGGACAGGATTTTGAAGTAGAAAGTTTTCTCTGCTGACAGGTCAAATATTTTTTTAATTACATGTTAACCAAGATACATGAATAGTCTCAAAGAATGGAAAATTATCGCCTTCATTGTCCTAAACCTAGAGAATAAGGAACACTCTAATAAAGGGAACATTAGCCAAACCTTTGTTAACACAGAAGGAAACATTCCTAATGGCTATTTTCTTCTTTCTTCTTGAAAAGCAACTTTTCTTTTTCTCTTTATATTCCTTGTGTAAACAACTTGCCATTATGACTGGTTTCTGGAAAGCATAATGAAGCAAGATTTTCTTGTTAAATTTCAGATATTTTATGCACTTGTGTTTTAGCTTTCATTCCCTAGTCTGCGAATCTGATCAGATTTTGTGCCATTGGTAAGTCAGCCTCTTTTTTCAAATAAAATGCCAAAACATATGCTCATTTATGAAGACTCCTTTATCAACTACTGGTAAAACTAATTCATAATCAAATATATTCCTTTGCATTATGCTGAACATCCACCTTGTCCTTTGCACTAATTTCCTTTTTTTTTTTTTTTTTAAAGATTGGCACCTGGGCTAACAACTGTTGCCAATATTTTTTTTTCTGCTTTATCTCCCCAAACCCCCCCCGTACACAGCTGCAATCTTTGTTGCAGATCCTTCTAGTTGTGGGATGTGGGACACCGCCTCAACGTGGCCTGATGAGCAGTGCCATGTCCGCGCCCTGGATCTGAACCCTGGGCAGCCACAGCAGAGCGCGCGAACTTAACCACTCAGCCTCGGGGCTGGCCCCCACTAATTTCATTTCTCTTCATTTTTTATTGATTTTCATATAATTTAAACTCACTTGCTCCTTTTCATATGCTATTTACAATTATTAATATTACAATTTCAATATAATGCAAAATGAAATTGACACTCTTGCAAAAGATGTGGGATTTTGTCAAAGTAGCTAAAAATATCAGAGAACTTCTTGAATTGCACTGATGAGTGAAGAACTAGCAGATTAAGACCCACAAAAAACTGAAGAAGAGAAAATGAAGAGAGTGATGACAGAATAAATACTTCAAAAGGTAATGATTTGAATAAGACCTCAAAGAGAAGTACTACAGAAACAAAAGCCGGTTTTCAAACTGGAAACTGACAGCTCAACAGCTCTACAGGACCAGCTAACCATCTCGGTATTTCGTGAAAGGTCTAGTCTCTTGTGTTCACCTCATCCAAGTTTGGAGTAGTGCAGGCCTTTGCTGTTCTCACTCTTTCAATTTGAACATCTTCATCTTCTTCTTCTGGCTCTTCTGGATTTGGATGACTTTCCCTACTTCTTGGACAGATTCTACAGAAAAAATAAAATAACAGAAAAATGCAATTCTAGGTGTACAACAACTGTTAAGAGAATGTAAGCCTCTATCATTAAATTATTATCCTCTGCTTTAAAAGAATATAAAATGATTAATTTACTACCTACGAGATTCCTCTTAACAGTAATAACCCCTCCAGTAGTCAAGTCCCTTGAAAGTTTCTTTGACAATTTCTTCTCTTTAAAAGCTTTGTCCCATCTGTCTTCTAGCTCTCCACATTCTCTCAAATATAGACTTATCAGTCTTTTTAGTCTGTTGCCATCCAAATCACTATCACATTACATCATAAATGATCACCATAACTGGTTTCTTTTGCCTTTTCAAAACACTTCACACACTTATACTGAAAATTTTTTGTTGTTGTTGTTTTTCTTTTTAGGAAGATTAGCCCTGAGCTAACTGCTGCCAATCCTCCTCTTTTTGCTGAGGAAGACTGGCCCTGAGCTAACATCATGCCCATCTTCCTCTACTTTATATGTGGGACACCTACCACAGCATGGCATGCCAAGCAGTGCCATGTCGCGCATCCAGGATCCAAACCGGCGCACCCTGGGCGGCCGAAGCGGAACATGCGCACTTAACCACTGCGCCACCGGGCAGGCCCTGAACACCAATTTTTTATTGTGTCTTATACTCAGGGACCTATCCTTGCCATAAGCAGGAGAAAAACAAGGTTCGGTGCTTAACCACTGCTTATAGAGATGAACAGGACAAAACTCAGTGCGTGTAAAATCAGTAAGACTGATGATTTAGAAACTGTGTCTCCCTGCATTCAACCTAATCCTGTTTTGTTTTGTTTCAGAATAACGCTGTCTAATGGGCCTAACCGAGAGTTAGATAGGAAATCTGTCCTAATAAATGGATGTTAATTGTACTGCCATAAACATTAAATATTTAAGTTACATTCAGAAGTTAACGTTCTCCCCACCTGAAAACTGGATCTTTCCTCATTGGTTCTTTTCCATACTTCATTTCCAGACACCTTATAACAAAAAGGAAAATGACACTCTGAAGGTATGGCTAAAAGCAAAGAAAGATAATTAGAATTAGCATCATCATGGGATTCAAACTCAGCAGGTAATATTTGCCTTTTGTCATAGATGACTTGACCATTTTCTTATAAAAGTGACAAAATCTTATAAAATGCTTCTCACATGGAGATTGTTCAAACCAACCCTCCCCCTGAAGAAAACTAAAAATTCTGGATTAAATTTTTTTTTTAATTTTAAAGCATAGAAAGTCAGACAAGATAGTAAGGACTTTTGAAGTGACAGCAGGAGGAAGGCTTAGCATCAAAGCAACTCTTTTCCTGGAGTTACTCTCCAAGCCCCGAACCTCTCAAACTTCAATTTTCACATCAGGAGCAGAAGACAGAAGTTTTCTCCAAGGAAAGAGTAGAACAGGCAATCCTTTCTCTAATAAAGCATGGACCTGAAAGGGTTATAGCCTTAGTGAAGGATGAAAAGAACACCCAGGAGATTTCTAAGATAGTTGCCTTGGGTGATGACCACGGGGAGTGAAGGTGGAGATGGAAGCCAGCCTTTGCAGAGATTTGTAGCCCAAATTCACATCACCTGAATGGTCCAAAGAACCTCATGCCTAGCATGTGATTTAAAGCAATGTCAGACTAGTAGCATCCCTAAGAACTTGGCAGAAGCAAAGAAAGTGAAATAGATACCCCAGAAACAGACCCTACATATATGGGCATTTTATATATGAACAGATGTAGCTCTGAATATCAAGGGGAAGAGTACAGACTTTGCCATAAGTAGTACTGGGACAATTGGGTCTCCTTAAAGACAAAAATAAATAGGACCCTTACTTCACAACACAGAAAAAAAGTCAATTTTAGATGATTAGAGACATAAATATGTAAGGAAAATAGAAATCTTTCAGAATACAATATAAAAGAATATTTTCATGACCTCAAGGAGGGAAAGTTTTCTTAAACATGAAATATGAAATAAAATTCATTAATTATCTTAATAAATATAGTAAAAAAATCTTTGACTCTTCTGAATGCACACAGCCTTTGATAAAATTCAAGATTCATTCTTGATAAATACTAAAAGCAAAAAACAGAAGACTAAAAACTCTAGTAAACTAGGAATTGAGAGATTTAAGATAAATAGTTGATATTTTAAACAGTTAATATAATACTAATGGTAAACACTAAGAACGTCTCAGTAAAATCATAAACAATGTAAGGATGCCTGCTAGCAACAGTATCAGTTGATATTGTTTTAGAGATTCAAGGCAGTATCATGAGGCAAGAATATATAAGGCAGTATATGTTTTCAAATATATATGTAATTATTTAAAGATAATGTTGTTTAACTAGAAAATACAAGATCAGTATCTGAAAACAGATTGGAAATAAGAAGAAAATTCAGTAAACAAACACAAGACAACTACACAAAAATCCTATATTCCAATAAGAACTAATTAGAATGTACAGTGAAAAAACTTTAATGGCTAAAGGTATAAATAAATAAATGTGCACAAGAATAAACTTAACCAAAAATGTATAAAAGTGAAATAAAATAAAAATATAAAGTAAAAGTATTATAGCATATAAAATGTCTTAAATGCAGAAAAATATTTAAAAATCAATATTTTGAACTCATAAATTCTGCTGTAATGAATCAGACATTTAAAACAATGTCTGCAAAAATCTACATGCCACTTTCTGACACTTAACTACTCAATTCTATGTGAAAACAGAAAATTTTTGACAAATAAGAATGAGGAGGGGGTACTTATCATTTTAAATTAAGCAAAATATACAAAGCTACAGTAATTAAAACAATGTAGTCCTGGCATTGATATAAACAAATGGATCAGTGGGGTAAAGAGAATATAAACAGAATTAGATCCATACACATAAGTAAATACAATACTGATAAAGATGTTATTTCATTTTAGACAGCATAAAATGGAGTATTCAAAAATGCATTGAGATAACTAAATGCCCATTTTTGGAGAAATTATATTAAAATTGCTAGTCTCTAGCATGTAACAAACCATAAAAATTATCCAGAGAATTACATATTTAAGTATATTTTAAAAACAGCAAAACATCACGAAACAGGAAAGAGTGAACCACACTTAGGTAAAAAAATCAGTCAATAGAAATTGTCTCCACATATTAGCAGATTTTGGATTTAGCAGTTAAAGACAAAAAAGAAATTACTGTAAGTAGGTCCACTGAACCAAAGAAAATAATGTTTAAAAAATTAAAGTATGACTCATCAAAGACAGACTTTCCATAATTGAACTGAAAAGCAGAGAAAAAAGATGAAAGATAAATCAGCAAACCGTTAAAGAACTGGGGGACATCAAACACACCAATACACATGTAACAGGAGTCCCAGAATAACAGGAGAGAGAGAAAGGGCAGAAAAAATATTTGAAGAAATAAATGGCCAAATACTTCTAAAACTTGATGAAAAACAGTCTACACATCTGAGAAGCTCAACAAACCTTAAGTAGGAGAAATACAAAAACATCCACACCTAGACAGATTATAGTCAAACTGTTGAAAGACAAAGAGACAATCTTGAAAGCAGTAAGAGAAAAAAAGAACTCATCACTTAGAAAAGAGTATGAACACAATTAATGGCTGGCTTCTCTCCAGAAACAATGGAATCCAGAAGAAACCGGAATGACATATTCAAAGAGCTTTCAAAAGCTGGAAAAAATCTAAGCATTCTATAGCCACTAAAACTATCCTTCAATGTTAAAAGTGAAATAAAAGCATCCTCAGACTGTATTGTTCCAAATTGAAATACAAGCATCCTCAGACTGTATTGTTCCAAATTGACTTAGGTGGCCATCATTATACTGTGAGAGAGAAAGAGAATAAAGGAATACACCATGTACAAAACTTATATCTGCAAATAGAACAATGGATAGAATAGAGACCCCAGAAATAAACCCTCACATATGTTATCAGACAACCTTCAACAAGGGTGCCAAGACCACTCAACAGGGAATGGACAGTCTCTTCAACTACTGGAGTTGGGAAAACTGGATATCCACAAGCAAAAGAATGAAGTTCGACCTTTATCTTACACTATGTACAAAAATTAACTCAAGATGGATTAAAGTTCTAAACATAAGCTCCAAAATTATAAAACTCTTAGAAAAATTACTTAACGCTATTGAACTATGCACTTAAAAATGGTTATGATGGTAAATTTTATGTTATGTATTTTTTTATCACAATTTAAAAAATCTGAAATGAAACTTACATCTGAAGCAAACCTGCAGTTGTTTTTACAACCACACATAACTAACTAAAAACAGGTAGACAAAGAGCCACGAAGCGTATGGTAGGAAGTCACGCAAGCCACTTCTAGGCCTGACCTTTAATATCCTGTGCAATGGTTTAACCTCTTCCCCTTCAGAGACAACTGTGGAGATTAAGAGTTTCAGATGACATAGCTACAAAATGGAAGAGGGCCACATAACCCGCACTGAACTTTATGTGAGTGAAAAATAAATCTTCATTGTCTTAAGGCTTGGAGGTTCCAGGCTTTGTTTGTGGTGTTAGCCAGAGTTGCACATTTTAATGAATATATACCCCAAACAATTGTATAATTTTAGTATTTATTAATGGTCAGTTAAAAATTAGTGTATATGGAGCATCTCCGCATTTATTGACAAAATAAGAACATATATTCAATATACAAAGATCTATGTGAAAATGTATATAATTTTATAAATTTATAAAAATTTAGCAAATTTTTCTCCTTTGATAATCTGCTGTTCTGCCATTAAGAGAAAAAAGGAGCCTGTAAGCCATTGTGTTTCCCCCTTCTGCCTCAGTTACCATAATGCACAGAAATAACATTTGTACTTTGTGTCAGTATCTTTTCCCAGTATAAAACTCCACATAATTTTCCCCACTCTTCTTCATTATTCAAATTAACTTACTTTTTATCCACATTCAAATTATTTTTAGTCACACATCTGTGATATTTCTTATAAACCACCTCAAACTGTCTTTAGATACATATATCACATCAAGCAGGTATATCATAATAATTGCAATCAAGTCTTTAGAATTTCCAGTATATATTAGACTATCGATGACTCTATATAGAAAAATATCTTTAGGTTTTACTGCCACTATATTTGAAAGCAGAATATAGTAAGAGTGGGTATTTTTAGGATATTTAAATTTCCCAGTCTTTGAATAAGATCAAGTATATCACACAGCTATGAATCCTATGCAGTATATGTTCAGAAAATTTTTCTTACTATTAAGATTGTTAAGAGAATGGTTTCATTAACATCATCTATTCCAATGTCCAGACTTTCAGAGCTTCTCATATTTATAAAGGACAGCTGTTGAAGATAAACAAGAGTTAAATGAAAGTTGCTCTCCTTTGTGAATATAAAAGTTATACATTAAATATGCATACATTGTACTTGATGTTCCATGGGGCACCTGGGAATATGCCATGAATTGGGATAAGACTTGTTCTCTGATACCAAAGTCTGTGGATGAGCTGACATCCTTCCTTGGTGATAATCTCCAGCACTTTTTGTTTTCCAATTCTATGTAGTAGGGACTTACAAGTTTCCTTTTAGTGGGAGTGACAAAGTACGGAACTGCTTGGTAGGTGAGGTTTATCAACAGTTCCCCCAAACTCTCAGTAGTGCCTGGTTTCTCCCAGAAGCACTTAGTAGCATCACGCTCTCCTTTCCCTACCAACCACACACTCCAAAAGCAATTTATTGACCCTAAGTGGTACGCAAAGAGCACAATATGTCACATCTTCCATGCAGTCCTATATTTTAGGAAAAGATAGACTTAAGCACAATAAGAACTTCAGATATTTATCAAAATTGAAATGGAAAACTTTTACCTTATGGTAAGACTGATTCTCCCCAAGAGAGTGTGTTTTGTAACAATGGAAAAGTTCAGGTCCTCTCTCATAACCCCCTCTTGGAACTCATAAACAAGCTTGTGCTTCCTACTGCATTTCTAAATAGATTTACCCACTTTCCTATGGGTATGAATACTAGTTTCAATGAATTTGACAACTTTCAACTTTATACAGTTTTAAAATCTTATTTTCATGACTTATCAGCATTGAATAATTTCTGAATTTTACAAAATGTACCTGTTCCAACATTGGGTAAAGATGTTATTAATGGGCTACATGATCAAGGCCAGTGACACAGTAGGAAATATTGCTTACCTCTATCAAAAACGTGAAAAATCCACTTAAAGTGTACAAAGGTATTAAAATCATGCATAAAATTAACTTGAAACGTTCAAAGTGAGTTGATACCAGGATGATGAATACAAATATTGAGATCTAGAAGAAAAAAATCCAGAGGTATTATAATTTTCTCGGTTATATTTAACATTTTAAGATATTCTCTATGAATAATCTGTTGTCCTGGGAAATATTCTCATTTTCAATTTTCACCTCATATACACCAATATTGTTAGGGTTTCCTCTTTAGGAAGCATCAAACTATCTTTACAGCTGAAACATAGGAATACAATAAGGTCTGACGTGCATATCTGAGAGAATTGTACTACCTAGTATGGATAGAAGCAACAATAAAAGAAGGAGATGTAACATTATTTACTTTGTTTACTACCATAAGTCCTCAGATGATTTCAGCACCAGGATACAGCTAAGAATTAACAGATGATATGACTTGATGATATGATAATATCAGTTAACTGATATTAACTGATTAACTTAAAAGGTAAAAAGACAAAATAAATTTTGAGCTGGGTATTTATTGCCATATTTAAGCAATAGGAGAAATATGAGAATTACCCATTTTGATATCTGAGGTAGGACTATTGAAAGGTTTAAAACATCCCCAGAGGAAAATAATATGGATCTAGCACTGTACAGGGCAGCGAGTATCCCCGCTCAGACTGTGTCAGTAGTTTCCTAAGTGGATTCCCCACCTCCAGTTCTCCTTCCATTACAAATCCATGTGACATTCCAAACAGTATATATTTTTATTTGAATAGGAATCACTTTATTTTATATATTTCACTGAAGGTAAGCCTCTCAATTGCAGAGACTTTGTCTTGTTCAAGCCAGGTGTCAGGTATGTGCCAGCGGAGTACCATAAATATTAATTAATTAATTAATATTGGAAAAGGTAAAGAATAAGAATTTCTATTTTTATGTTTTTATTCCTCAAATAATTTAAAAAGATGCATTTGAGAGTCCAATTTATGCAAAATATTTTGTTAAATGGAATTGTAGTCACTGTAGTTACAGGAATAACAAGAGGAAGAGAAAGAGAAAGAAGAGGATAGAAACTCCTGTTGAGCATTTACTATTTACCAAGTACTTTGATGAGAAATTTACCAGTGCTGTGATAATCAACACTCTTTAACAAACTCAATCCTAACCCAGATCAAGGATTCACACCTGGGGTTGTCGGACTCCAGCAGCCAAGTTCTTAACCATCATACTTTTATAAGAAGCTATTGTATGAGTCAACTCTCCATACATCAAGCCAATGTGTAATGTGTTGGGTACCAAGAACTTACACATATGAAATAGATAATAGTACAAAAAGGATATAAATACTGTTTCTTCCACAAGCACAAGAAACATTTTTCTGAAGGAGAAAACTATATAAATTGAAATAATATGAGGGCTCATCAGCTTATTTTATAACTTTGCATCAGAATCTCCTCGAAGATTTACTGGCCATAGCATTTATAATTATCAAAGGATTGCTTTAACAAAATATGTAGCAATATATCTTAAGTTTTACAGAAAACTGAAGTTAAATTTTCTACGTCTAACAAGGCAATGAAAGAACTTATCTTTGACCATCCTACTGGCTTCTTATTTCCTTTTTTCTTTTATTATCTTCCTGCACAAATTAGCCCATCTATCTTGTCTCATCAGAAAAATAAAAAGAATCTTTCCATTAACTCTTCCTTCTGGCAAGCAACAACAGTTTTTCTAAGGAGTAGTAAAACACTTCCTGTTTCTACTTCCCCATTCTATATTTACTCTTCCATATGCTATAAACTAGATTCTACATTCACTGCTTTATAAAACTATAGTGTTAAAAGTTAGGTATGGATTCCTGTATGTAGAAATAGGGAGGACTAGATAACCTAAGGACCTTACCCAAACCAAACAATTAAATTTGGGAAAGTTATCAAATGTCCTTTAAATGCACTACTAGCCTCAGAAAAAAAAGTGAGGGAATTCTTCAAGGGCAAAAACAAAGCCTGCAACCTGACTTGGACCATTATGTAAACAGCAAATCTGAGAGACCTGGGAATAAATGCCCCTCTCAGTGCAGGGATCGAGAGGCTAGGACTTTGGCCCTACTTAAGGTCCTTCCCTGCAAATACTTTCAGGGGAACAAAATGAAACCCTCTTTATGGGTGTTCCTTGCAAATACCATATTCATGCATGACACTAAGATGGCTTATGCCATCCTAGTTGGGTTCTGCACTTTACTTCTTGCAAAAGTAATTGAGAATTCTTTTGGGATGAAAATATTTCCAATTTAGGATCTTGGGAGTTCCATACTTAAAGGGCAACCAAATATGAGCTCCCAATAAAAAAAAAAAATCAAACATACAAGGCAACAAGTCACAATAAGTGTGAGTCAGGAGGGTGAAAAACAATAGACTAAAACCATTTGAAGACTTTAGGTATTAGAATTGTCAAATAACAAATACAAATATTATTTTAATTAAATATACAAAGAAATAAAATATGGAATAAAAAAACACAATCAAGTAACAAAAGACTGCAAGGAACAAGTGGAGATATTTGAAATAGAACCAAATAGAGTTTTGGAAAAAAAAATTGAAATTTTTTAAATCAGTCAAAGACTAAAGATAGACACAGCTGAATAAAAAAAATAAGTGAATTGGAAGAAAAGTCTGAAGCATTTCCCAGAATGCAGCAAAGACAAGAACATGAAAAATTTTAACAAAATGTTAAGAGATGTGGAGAACAGACTAAGAATAACTACCAGTAAGACAGTAAGACTATTTCAGTAGAGTCTCAGGAGGAAAGAATAAATATTTTATTCTTATTTTAGTAAAAGAGGCAACACTTGAAGAGATCCTGACTAAGAATTTTCCTGAACTAATAAAAGAAATTAATTCACAGATCCAAGCACTACAATTCATATGAAAAAAGATAAATAAAAACAAATCCACACCTAGAAACATGGCAGTGAAATTAAGGATGTTAAACTCAAAGATCTTAAAAGTAGTCAAAGACAGATCCTCTACAAAGGAATTACAATTAACTGACAGCAGACATCTCAATGATAAAAATGTAAGCAAGAATATAGAAGTTTTTTAGTGATGACAGAAAGTAATTGTCAACCAAGAAATGTATATGCAGCAAAATTATCTTTTAAGAATGAGAGTGGGAAAAGGTAATAAAAATTGCAAGAGTTTATAGGTGATTGACCTTCATAAAAGAACATATAAATAATTCACTTTAGACGGCAAAAATTAAAATGACAGAGAGAAAGAGAAGACTAAGCTCCAAGTGTAAATGGTGAACAAAGAAACTGATCTAAAAAGAAGTTTACAAATCTTAAGTTCTTAATAATAATAATTATGTTTATTTGTGGAATTAAAAAAGGAAAGAACCAAAACATTAGAAAACAGCATGGAAGTAGGGCAAGCAATTACTGATAATAAAGTCTCTAAATTATAGTGTTGGAAGTAAATAGGATATTGACTAACTTTAGGCTTTGTTAAGTTTAGCACGTAAAAAAAACAATCAAGGATGTTATGGGCTGAACGAAGTCACCCCAAAATTCATATGTCGAAATCCTAACCCCGGTAGCTCCGAGTGCGACTGTATTTGGAGACAGGATCTTTAAAGTGGTAACTAAGATTAAAGGAGGTCATTGAGGTGGGCCCCAACCCAATATGACTATTGACCTTATAAGAAGAGGAAATTGAGATACAGACACACACAAAAGACCATGTGAAGACACTGGGAGATGATGGCCATCTGAAAGCCAAGGAGAGCGGCCTCAGAAAAAAACAACTCTGTGGGCACCTTGATCTCGAACTTTTACCTCCAGAACTGTAGAAAATAGGTTTCTGTTGTTTAAGCCACCCAATTTGTGGTAGTTTATTATGGCAGCCCTAGCAAATGCAAAGAGTAACCACCAAAGTAATAAAATAAGATTTCTGACCTCCAAACCAGAAGGGAGTAAAACATGGAATAAAAGAAAACAAATTCAACCGAACAAAAAAACCAGGGCAAAAAAAGAGAAGAAATCGTATAATGTACATCGCAAATACAAAGCACAAAGTGAAATGAAATAAACAAGTTCAAGCATATTAGCAATCATAATAAACTCAAATTGAAGACGGAGATTGTCAGATTGAATTAAAAAACAACCACAAATAAAATCCAACTATATTTGCTTTACAAGAGACACACATTAAAGCATGAAGACACTGGAAGTTTAAAAGTAAAGACATGACAAAAAACATTTATCAGGCAAATACTAAATAAAAAAAATCTTGTGTGCCCACATTAATATTTGACACATCTGACTTTATAACCAAAAGCCAGTATTAGAATAAGTTGGATCACTATACAATTTCAAACTTGAATGTACCCAATAAAATAATGCCAAAATATATAAAGCAAAAATTGATTAAAGGATGAAACTGACAAATCTCCCTTTATATTGGGATGCATAAGGGAAAAAACAAATAGGTCAAGGACTAATTCCAACAGTTAATAGGACATTACTTCTTATGACATATGTACCAGGATTTCTACAGATACTTTGTTTCTTTCCAAAGGAACAGGTGTAAAAGAGAAACCTCAAAGAAAAGATGGAAAATAGGAGAAAGAAAATGAGCAAAAAATAGGTGAAACTATGAACATGGTCCAACAATAATTGGAGTACAAAAGAAGTGACTCTATCCTCTTCTAAGTATTTATATTTAACTTCGCATTTTCATTTTTTCTAAATTTTTTTGCAAGGAAAGATTTGCCCTTTGCTAACATCTTACTGCCAGTCTTCCTCCCCTTTTTCTCCCCACCAGCCCCAGTACATAGTGATACACAGTTGTAAGTTCTTCTAATTCTTCTATGTGAGCCACCACCACAGCCTGGCTACTGGCAGACGGTGATGTTCTGTGCCTGGGAACCAAACCTGGGCTGCCAAAGCAGAGCACACTGAACTTTAACTGCCAGGCCATCAGGGCTGGCTCTTAACTTTGCATTTTTAAAAATAAACTTTAAGAAAACAATATAAATGTGCATAGAGAGAGATACTTACAATAAGAAAGCCAAGACACCAAAAGCTACTATTTTTTCTCCCTTTGCGAAAAATGAACGAAATCACATATGTGAGGAATATAAGAGAAGCTGCACAACCAATCATGCAAACCACCTGCAAACAACAGAAGTAATAGTGAGATTAGAGATGGCAGATCATGTATGGGATGGGAGCAGGGAGAGAATCAGGTCATAAAGTTGTCTAAGGCAATTTTCTGGCATATACCTTTCGTTAATGATGTTAAAACAAATGAATTTTTGTTTCAATTCTATTATTATATTTGGCCTGGGGAAAAGAATTATCGCTTACCAGAGCAAACACAAGTCCCCATGAAAGTATGGAAATCGAAAACATGAAGTGGTGAGTTAAACGTATTGAAAGAAGAATCAGACCATATAATGGAATATCCGCCAGAGCCTGTCCACACCAGTATGCTGAAGGGAAGAGGCCTGAAATCCATAACTGAGACTGAGCTTTTTGCTGACAAAGAAACAGAAGGGATACAGGAGGGGTTGAAATCTTAGGTAGAAAAGAGACTTGGTTTACATGAAATAGTATTTTTTAATAAATTTTAGAAATATTATGATGTAGCAGCAGCTAGTTTTTTTAGTCTATGTTGTTTTATACAGTGAATCTGAGCTTCAGTAACTTTCCAGCCCAGGTTTAGGGAAGTAAGCCTCAGGACAACTAAGACGCTAATACTCTCCCAAAGAAAATAGCGTCTCTGTGATCAGAAAATGGCATCTTCCTAAGTATCTGACAACCCATCTGGGAATGCAGAGCCATTGACTCAATAGGAAAAGTATGACCTATTGGTAAAGCTGATTAACCCTTTGGCGTAGACAAGCAGAAATGACTATACTATAAATTTTAAAAGTCCAACTTACAAACATGTAATTAAAAGTTTGGAAATGTGATATATCTTATATTTCATGCTATAGTTAAAAATACAAATTCTCTTTGGAATTGTGAAGCAACTACACGCAATCACAAAGGACCACATTTTCCGTCTCTGAAGTTGATTTAGTATGACTCCGTTTAAAGCTGAGGCAATCTTATTCTGTTGAGTAATGAACTTCCTGACCTCTCTGACATGAATAACCATTTACCAGAATCTATAATGAGATTAGGATAACGTAATTTATACAGAAACACAATTTTCTTGAAGGGCAATCCTGTGTACATAAAACAATGAAATTCTAATTACTAAAGTCAGATAAAATCGTTCTCTTTCCTCCCTTTCCTTCTCCCTCCCCCTCTGCCTCTTACCTTGTAATCGTTGATGCTGCTCATGCCGATGTAAGGAGAAACGCAGTTTGCAAGCAACAAAAGTAAGGACCAGTCCAAAAACCCAATTCCCAGCATTGCGTCATCCTAGTAGTTCAAAACACATCTGTAAGCTATTGAAATTGTTACAAATCATACAATCATAATTATAAGACATGTTTTGGGGAAACTGAGAAAAACTCAAAACGAAAGCATACGTCGGATTTAAGAAGCAAACAAAGAGAGAAGTAAACATGTGTTGTTACCCTTAATGGAAGGTTCCAGTCTCAGGAACAATGCGATATCAAAAGAAGTTTAAATTTTTAATTTTATATGTGCATATTTAGAGGGCTTGAGCAGTTTCTCTTTCATATTTGCATCTAGTAATTGTTAAATGAAGACAGATACTCTGGAGCTACATTTATCGCCTTTGAAGTACTGAGCTAAGTTGTCATTTGCTCCAGTTCCCTGTTTCCAAGTGGATGAATTATAAATAAAATAGCTTCTAAAACTCTGAAAGTAATTGTCTTGCCATTGTTCTTGTGTTCCTGGTCCTATATACAAGATATAATTAGAAGGGAGCAAATCTTTCCTGCATAAATATTTCTTGATTTCCAGAAAAGTTTAAATTAAACAATCTTGGAGAAATGGAGGGGTCTTACTATAAATCTAAGTTGTTTTCCAGACAGGGTAATTTATTACTGTTATAACAATAGACTAAGACTGATTCAGAATCTCTAGAAATGGGACCCAACAGTGTGTTGGTTTTTTTTTCCCAAGGGTTCCATAAAGAAGTATATTTGAGAAACACTAAGAGTTTTTACTCCCTCTTAAAGAGTCAAAATGCACATTGAAAGGCTCTGAGAAGATGTGTACCCAGAAAGAATTTAATGCAGCACAGAATCCTCCCCCATCCTGTGCAGTGCCTAGTGCCAATCAGGCCTAATTATTTTATTGAGGTCATATTGGCTTATAATATTGTGTAAATTTCAGGTGCACAATATTATATTTCAGTGTCCATATAGACTGCATCGTGCTCACCACCAATAGTCTGGTTTAAATCTGTCAGCAGACATATGTGCCCCTCTACCACTTTTGGCCTCCCCCTACCCCCTTCCCCTCTGGTAGCCACTAATCTGTTCTCCTTGTCCATGTGTTTGTTTACCTTACACATATGAGTGAAATCATATAGTGTTTGTCTTTCCCTGTCTGGTTTCTTTCACATAGCATAATACCCTCAAGAGCCATCCATGTCCTTGCAAATGGCACGATTTTGTATTTTTTAATGACTGAGTAGTATTCCGTTGGATATATATATGACATCTTCTTTCATCTGTTGATGAATACTTGGATTGCTTCCACGTCTTGGCTAGTGTGAATAATGCTGCGATGAACATAAGGATGCATAAACCTCTTTGAATTGTTGATTTCATGTTCTTTGGGTAAATACTCAGTAGTGGGATACCTGGATCATATGGTATTTTTATTTTTAATTTTTTCCTTTGAGGAAGATTAGCCCTGAGCTAACATCCACCACCAGTCCTCCTATTTTTGCTGAGGAAGATTGGCCCTGAGCTGACATCTGTGCCCATCTTCCTCTATTTTATATGTGGGACACCTGCCACAGCATGGCTTGATAAGCTGTGCATAGGTCCATGCCCGGGATCTGAACCAGCAAATCCTGGGCTGCCGCAGCAGAGCACACAAACTTAACCACTACCCCACTGGGCCGGCCCCTATTTTTAATTTTTTGAGAAATCTCCATACTGTTTTCCATAGTGGCTGCATGAATTTACATTCCCACCAGCAGTGTATGAGAGTTCCTTTTTCTCTACATCCTCTCCAACACTTCTTATTTCTTGTTTTGTTAATTATAGCCATTCTGACAGGTGTAAGGTGACATCTCCTTGTAGTTTTGATTTGCATTTCTCTAATGATTAGTAATGAACATCTTTTCATATGCCTATTGGCCATGTGTATATCTTCTTTGGAAAATGTCTGTTCATATCCTCTGCCCATTTTTTGATTGGGTTGTTTGTTTTTCTGTTGGTGAGTTGTATGAGTTTTTATTATTTTGGAAATTAACCCCTTGTCAGATATATGATTTGCAAATATTTTCTCCCAGTTAGTGGGCTGTCTTTTAGTTTTGTTGATGGTTTCCTTTGCCTTGCAGAAGCTGTTTAGTCTGATGTAGTCCTATTTGTTTATCTTTTCTTTTGTTTCCCTTGTCTGAGTAGGCGTAGTATTTGAAAAAATACTGCTAAGACCAATGTTGAAGAGTGTACCTAGCAATCTGCTTTAAAAAGTCCTGCAGATGATTTTGATGCATGTTAAAATAGGACAACCACTGACCTATGCTTTCTGCTGGGATACAAACCAGCCCGAAGATTTGAGGTCTTGCTGAGACAGGAAGTTGTTACACCTGACTAAAGGGGTGATTGTGGCTGAAAATAAAAAGAAATCATGTCCCTCAACCAGTGGGCAGTAAACAATATTATACTAATCCCTACTCTAAATATAACGGTTATCTTGTTAGGCTATGCCTGTGTAAAAAAAACAAATAATAATTATTGCTTTCTTTAAAAGAAAATACCTGTTTCAGGTGAAAATCTAAAAACTAGAAAAAAAAAACCTGAAAATTTTAACTTTCCTAAACAAACAAAATTTCCAATTGAATATTTTAAAAGTTATTCATGAGGGACTAAGGGAGAACTCAGCTGCCCTGGATCCACAGGAGACAAAATTAATATCCCAAATTGCTTCCTTGATAAGCTCCCTTCCCCTACACACACACGGATTTTATCTGGGTTTACATAGATGGTAAGGGAAGAAGGCCATGCAGGCAGGCATCATCTCCCATTTTCTGATTTTGTTTAACAAAAGGGCAAATCAAGGAGCTCTGTCAGGGCTGTGTCAGAAAGAAAGAATAGAATCCATGTAAGGGACCCAGCTAATAAACTGGGGGAATCAACAAAGATCATATTTGATGTCTGGAGGTAATATGCTAAGACAAATATTCTGCAAGTTCATGAGTAATAATCTTTGTAAGCAGATTCAAAAACTAAACTAATGTAACTAACCCATCCCTTTGGGGCCCACTGGCCACATGGGACTCACTCAGGGCGAGAGGCTACCTGGAAAAGATAAATTTGTGTCATATTGCACCTGAAGCAAAAGCCGCCACAGTAACTTCTCCCTTCAGTTCGAGTTCTATTTACTGTCTAAAGATTGAACAAAGCATTGTGAACAATGCTGGGGGAAAAGAAGGGAAGAAGGAGGAAGCTGAACAGAGGGTCAAGAGGAAAGGTACCCTCTATGAGACTGCAGGTGACAAAGAGCTCCATTGGTGGTACTTTGTGCATGAGCAGAATGTTCTTCATCTTGATATACGCTCTAGGGAATTCCCTCTGGCAGTACCCAGAGCCCCTAGGCTATTTTATCTAGTGAGCAGAGGTAGCCATCATTAGTACTGTGGAAAGCCCTGCTACCATTGAGAGGAAACCCCCAAACACTGTCTTTCTCCCTCTAAAGACTTATTATGCTCAGCCAGACCTACTTTCCCTTCAGATTTAAATTGCCCTACTTCATAGGCAAAAAAACTAGAGTTGGCATTCTGTTAATTTCTTATTGTGAAATTTTCCAGCCAAATTTCATTCTCCATAACCACTATGCATATACTTCCAAACGTCCACCCAATTTCCACAACTTTTCCCTTTTTTAAATCTACCATAATCAAACACACCCATTAGAAATTGTTTGAAGGCTGAGAAAGGGTTATTAAAATCAATTATGGTCAAAAATTGCACTGCATTCCACAAGATATAAAACATAAAAAGTGACCCAAAAGGACGCTGCTTTTCTTAAAATAATAGAGAAAACACTACAGAACTGTTGAATAATCATAATTTTAGAGTTGGGCAATACATTCTCATAAATCTCACTAAGGTGCATATATATATATATCTTCCACATTTGCTCTAATCGGTACATAGGACATACTTAGCAAATTCCCCCAGGGAAATCTAACATAAGATTAAGGATTTGGGTTTGAGGCTTCTCTGTGTTCCAGGTTTGCAAGCACATCTACTCATGCATTGATTTCAGCAAATACATACGATTTCATCCAGCAAGTGTGAAGGACTGTTCTGGACAGTGAACCAAAGCCCCAACTATGATTCTTTAAAAGTTCTATGATTTTTCTCTATCATTTAAAATTTTTCAGCGTCCTTTTGGATCTTGGCTCTTTCAATGTTCTATGTCTTGGGGAGGTGGGTACAATTTTTGATCAGACAAGATTTTAGACTAGAGGGGTGAGGCCAGTGATAAAACATAACTCGATAGTATATCAAGGGGTAATAAATGTAATGGAAAAAAAGATCAGAATAAGGGGTAAGATGATAGGTTACATTTAATTTACTAAAGTAAGAAATTGTATTATATATTTAAATTTTTCCATTAAAACTTTTAATTTAAAAAATTTAATGAGACTAAAGATAAAATTACTTGAAAAATTCTTGATCTTTCGGAATATGTAAAAGCAAACGTGTATTGAATGCTTACTCTCCCCCTTACAAGAACATAAGTTCCACAGAATGGGATTTTTGTCTATGCTGTATCCCCGGCATCTGGAAGACACTTAAGAAGTATTTGTAGAATGAATGAAAAATATACATGTCAGGCTCTGTCCTAGGCACTTAGTAATCTCACTTAATGCTCACAATAATCAAAGAAAGCAGGTACTATTACAGCCCTCATTTTACAGATAAAGATAGTAAGGCAAAGAGTGGCTAAGAAACTTCCTAATATGTAGCAGAAGCAGGATTCAAACTCAGGTGGTGGCCTCAGAATCCTTGCCCTTTATCCCTCTGCTATATTGCCCCTTATGTAAGTCAATGCTATACTCACAACAGGAAATGTGCTTCTCTCCATTTTAATAAGCTCTGTGAAGTTAAACATCCCAAGAAGGGCATTGCTAACAATCCCCATAAGAACAGGAAAACAATTCATTCTCTTGGTGTTACAAGCAACTGAAAATCTGTAATCCTTAAAAAAAAAAAAAAGCACACAAATATAAATCCTAAATTCTTAAAGTAAATATATTTATTGTATAGTTAACATATTACCAGGGTGGAATATGGGTGAAAAGGAAACTACTAATTTTTCTTTGACACTTCTGCCGTTTTGAATTGGTACAAGAATGCATTATTTTTGTAATTGAAGTGACTTATCCCATAAATGAAATAGATGAACATTCGCTAACGTGGAAAGATGTCAAAGATTTAGATTTTATGTGACAAAGAAAGTTGCAGGATTCCTCTAACACAATTCCAATTTAGAAAATATATTTTCAAATATGAGATCATACATAGTGAGTTTGTGTTCTTATAAATGAAAAGAGTGCAGAAGATATTTACCAAACTCTTGATAGAAATATAATATGGAAAAATAAAGGAATGAAATCATAGAGAAAATTTTACCTTCTATGATATATACTTTAGTAATATTTGAATATCTCTACCAAACATGCACTGCTTTTTGTCAGCTTTATTGAGGTAAAATTGACAAATAAAATTGTAAGATAGTTATAGTGTACATTGTGATGATTTGATTTGATATACATATAGTACATTGTGAGTTTCTCCCATCTAGTTAACTAACACATCCATCACCTCACATATATATATATATGAACATTTAAGTTCAATGCTCTGAGAAAATTTCAATTATACAATACAGCATTACCAACTACATGTAGTCACCATATTTGACATTAAATCCCCTCAGACCTTATTCATTTTACAGCTGAAATTTTGTACCCTTTTTTTTATCTTTCCCTGTTTCTCCTACCCCCCAGTCTCTGGAAACCACTTTTCTACTCCGTTTCCATGAGTTTGGCTTATTCTTTTTAGAATTCACACATAATTGATATCATGCAGTATTTGCCTTCTCTGCCTGGTTTATTTCACTTGGTATAACGCCCTCAAGGTCCATCTATGTTGTTACATAACATGCATTGCTTGTATAACAAATCACATCACTAATAAAAAACGATCCCTTTAAGAAATTACTGAGGATGGAAAACATGCTCTTAAAGGGACTAAAATTTCACACCTTACTCAAAAAGGGCCAAGGTGCTGTGCTGAGCTATGCTGATACAGAATGGTTGAGTTGTTTTCTATAGTTCCAAAGTTTTAGAATGTGGCAAAAACCCATTCATGGTAAAAGAGTTCCTGGTGGCAAACATACCTTCGAGTCACCAGACACTATGATGGCTCCATTATAGGAAGGATCATCTGAGCCATTTCTGTTTCTAAAGTCACCTATTTCCAAAACTATATCCTGACGCTTCAGTGACCGCACGAGGTCTTCAATATTTGATCCTAATGTAGACCACGAAGGAAGGCAGCATAAAAGCAAGAAAATCAAATCAAAGCTTTAAAATAAGAATGATTTCCTCTCATGTTAAGGAATATCTAGAATAACATGGTAAGACCGTCACTCTTTAAAAATATGATGAAATTAATTCTGATACTGGGACATTGAAATTCAGTCTACTATTTTCAGTGTAACAACTTCTTTGAGAAATATGTTAACTTATCTTATAATTCTTATAAAGGAAAAAGAGTTTATTCCTAAGAGTTAGATTTGCAATTCTCACAGAAACAAAACTTTTTATTAGTGATTTTTATAAACTTTGCCAGAACCCTGTAATGTTTGTAATTACAAATAATACATGCTTCAGGACCCAGGCTTCTTCTAGAGATACAAACCAGTCCTACTCATCATGCAACCTGCTAAATCTCACTAACCCTTTGCAATGACGTTCACAACATTAGTGACCCATTCAAAATATTTTCGTGAAATTAAGTGAACTTGATATTTTCCATTATATTTATTATTTTTCTTGATTTGAAAAAGAGTCCATCAATTTCCTTCTTTGGAAAATGAAGCAAGATGGACACACACCACTTTTTTCCCATTTCCCTTCAAGTTGTTTTTAACATAGGCCTTTTGGCCTCTCAAGTTTGCACCTTCTAAAGATCTTTGATAATAAAAGTTAAGACTAAATTTAAGCCCTACTTCTCACCTGTATTATTGATGATCAATAGGCTGGTAAGAGGAGTTTGTGGGAGTTGTTCCAGAGAGAGGAAATACATACTGGATGAAAGCTCCCAACGATGAGGGTAAAAAAATGCCATAGACATTATCTTCTCACAAATGGTGGGGATAAAAGCAATTCCAAGTACCAGTAACCTAAGTAAAAGAAAATTAAAACATGAGTCTAGAACATTTTCCCTCTGATTAGTTAAGTCACAAACATGTTATATAAATGGCAACCTATGAAAATTGAACATACAAATATGGGGTTTAGTTACATAAAATGAAACTAAAAGTGAGATTAATTTGAAGATGTCCTCCAAATTTTGCATAATTCATGTCACATTGCAAGGTGTCCAAGGGTACTAGAGCAACAAGAGAAAAGTTGAGATCCAGGAGGTTCCTCCGTGGGCATGCTGGTTGACCAGGGCAACATGGGAAATGGGAAATGGTTTTATGGGATACCAGGAGCCTCAAACGGTCAGCTTGGGTAGTACTGAAGGGAAAGAAGTTTCACACTGTGGCCTCAAGCTTGCAATGTGCACAATTTCAAGTAAAACTTTAACTTTTATCAGCTATTTTACATATATTTTAATTTTCATAAAATTAGATGCAATATTTTAGCAAAAAATACACTATTTTCAGATCCTTGAACTCATTCCACCAACTCAAACTACTACCGAAACACTTCCAGGGAATCTTTCTGTTTCTCTGATAAGTACACGAGTCCACTCTTTGCACTAACTACTTTCTCATCAGACCCCAGACTCTACCTCCTTCTCCCTCACTCTCAGTCTCTCACATTTCATAGAAAAAAAAAAAACAAAGAAAGTTCATCAGATAGAAACTGTCTCTGGTCTTATCACCACCAAAAGAAAAGAAAACATCCACAGATGCACCCATCTTCTCATTCTTTCCATCTGTTGTAATAGGTGACGTCGTTTCTCCTAACAAAGGCTGGTCCGCAATACTGCTATGGATCCAGTCCTCCTGACTTCAATCTCCCTTCAGCTACTGTTCTTTCTTCTTCCCTCCGTGGTCAAGCATCTCAAGAGCTGTCTTCTCTTAGATCTTCTCTTGATAAGACCTTTAATGACTTCCTTTTTGCCAAATCCAATAGACGCTTTGTCTTCTGAACTGTTATTCTCTACCTCTCATTTGCTAATCCCTTCATATTTTCTAATCTTGGCTTAAATGTGGCCGTTTCAATAAGGTCAACACGGACTACCCTATTTAGAATTGTAAGGCACTCCCAACTCCCACAAGTACCCCCTACACCTTTATTCTACTCTATTTTGTGTAACCTCTATTTTGTATAAACACCTATTTTGTAAAACCTCTATTTTGTATAAACACCACGAGGGCATGGATCTGTGCTTTTTTTGCTCATTAACATAACCAAAGCACCTAGAACGATGCCTACATAACAGGCTTCAATAAAGATTTGTGATATAATGAACGAATAACATATTTTTAATGGACAATTATTTAATTGGTACTTTTCTCCATCACAAGGTAGTAAGTTTAAAGGCCTTGTCAGCCATGTTCACTACTGGACAATAGTACTACAAGCACTCAAAAAAATTTGTTACATGAATGAAGAAATTAATAGACTTATTTTCTTTACATTTAAACTCTTTTTGTGTATATTGACTAGTAAGATTTAAAGTAGTCTGATACTTACAAGGACAAAAGAACTTTCCTCTCATGCCTTAACTTTAAGAAGCGTAGCCTTGCCATTGCGAGGACCTGTCGTCTCCAGAGAGTTCCGGTACTGATGGCCTTTCTCATTTCAGGGAGAGAACAAAGAGCCTGTTGCGTTTCAGACTCAATTCCAGTATCTCTTGTCACTTTGATTTTCTCCTGTTTCTGAGTGCCAAAATCTATAACCACGTAATAAGCAATTATAATAGGCTATGTTATTTGCACTTTCTCTTTAGAAACTTTGAAAATTATGTTAGAATATTTGAAACAACTCTTCTAACAAGTTAAGCGACTGATATCCATAACCTATATTCAAAATGTTTCCTTCAAACAAATATAACAGACCCAGTTTCAACGAGCGAGTAAATTAACTGTTGAAGACAGTCTGGGCTTCTTGGGAAGCATTTCTTCCTTCATACCAATGGCAGCAGCTCTTCACTGAGGGGTTTTTGCAGAGCGAGTCTTAGGCAAAAGCACAGGCATAAATTTATATAGCCGGGGTTCTAAAAGCTCTCCTCTGTCATCTGCAATCTCTGCCACAAGATTAGTTCATCACTGATGATTGACATCTCAGCAAGTCTTTCAAGATACTGTGGTTTTAAGTAACAGAAAGTCCAGGAACGATCTCCTGTTCGCATCCCACATTTGGCTAATCACTCAACTTCTCTAAATCTCAGTTTTCTCACCTGCATCATGAAGTTACTATGAGAATTAAGAACAATATAATCCAACATCTGAGCACAATGGCTGGCACACGGTAGGCTCCTAAATTCTTCTAATTATTATTATTACAAAGTAAACTAAGGGAAGATAATACCTTATTTAGTTATCTGTTATTAATATATTAATTAGAATTAGTTTATTAGCTAAGTAAGAATACTTTTTGTATTTTTATTTTTTGGTGAGGAAGATTGGCCCTAAGCTAACATCTGTGCCAGTTCTTCTCTATTTTGTATGTGGGATGCCACCACAGCATAGCTTGATGAGCTGTTCATAGGTCTGCACCTGGGATCCAAACCTACGAACCCCAGGCCACTGAAGCACAGCACACAAACTTAACCACTATGCCACCGGGCCAGCACCAAGAGCACATTTTTATAGGGAATGGCAAGTAAGAAACAAAGCCAGAATTCATGACAGTAGCAGAGAGCTATTGATGATAAGGGGGAGGCGAGCATTCCAAAAGGATGTGACCATAACTGACATAGGAGGTGGACAAATATCCTAAAGTAATTTCCTGGCACCAAGCCTGATTATGTTAGATACAAAATAATTATGATATTTAAAAAAATTGACAACTCTATTTTATATCCACTACACATCCTAGGCAGAATTCCACATAAAAATCTACGAATATGAATTAATACATGGTCATTTTCTTTTTTCTTAATTTTCTGTTCGACACACATTTTTATACCTGGCTCATCACTTGCTGATTTGCCCTCTAGGTTCAAGAATACTTCATTTAGATTCGTCATGGAAACACCATAATTCATTATGCCCTGGTCAGAACACTTATCAAGGTCACTGTAAAGATCTAAAAAGCAAATAGTAACAAAATGATGCAAATAAAATTGGTAATGAGTACAGTAAAATACTAATTTCTAAGGATTACTCAGAAGAGATGAATCTAAAAAATATTTTCATACTAGAGCTGCCACAACAATCCAAGGAAAACATTCTCATAAGACAATCTCTTGTCTTTCAAATTGATTTTATTATTTTACATCTTTATTGTGTTTCATAAGCTTTAAAATTTCTTGTGCCACTATGGCCATGTGTGTTTGTATAAGTATCTGTATGTCTATTTAAAAATTCACTAGGCATGGGGTAAATTATATTTTATTCTCTGTATTTTCCAACTTTTTTTTCTATACTGAGCATATTGTATTTATAATCAAAATTATAATTTACAAAGACTCTATTGAACTGCTTCAATGTTGTAAAAAACAGTCTTATTTAATGTGTCTCTAGCAGAAATTAAAATTTTCTGCTGTTTCAGAAGAGATATTTCAAAGTTTCATTTAATGCTGACAAAGAGCAAATCTGGGTTTCTCAGTGAGCTACATTCATGGAAATTTTAGTTGCTCTCACACTAAAACCATGTATCTGGCAACACACTTCATCATGTTGGAAACGGGAGGCAAGGTAAATATTTTCATGGTATAAGCTTTAACACCCAACCGAGGGAAACAGAAAATGCAATCAGCACAGTCACAGACACTCAGCTGTCTTTTATGTGATCGTACAGTAAATTACCTGGAAATTTATTTGTTCTTTCCAAGGGCAAACTATACACAAGTTTTTCTTCACTTTCTGCTGTTAACTTGGCGTCAGGGACATGTTGTCTAATGAGGGATGTGATTCTCTCTGGATTGCACGTTTCATTCCTATGTAAACTAATGTTTCAAAAGAGATAAGTCTTTTGAATTCTTCTCCAACACCACTGCTCATGAAAAAACAGTTTTTGATTTAAAAATTTGTACATATTCTAGGCAATCCTGCTAAATTCAGTAATGAGTTCCCACAAATTTGATGTGCCACTTCAAAGTACTAATTGGCAGCCTATTTTGCATTATCTTAAAGGGAAAAAATAGAGAACATCATAGGTCAACCCCAAACCCCTAATCAATTTCCTAAAATGTACCCAAAGCAAGTTAGAATTTCAGTATATATATATATATATATAAATATATATATATACACACACACACACAATATGTATAGATAGAGAGCAGCTTAGCGTGTAAAAATACATATATATATTAAAAAATCATGATAGAATGTAAAACGCATGAAACATCACTTCTAGATCAATGAAAAATTAATAAGGTTTTTAATAAATGGTTTCTTTCTGTGTAGCAAATGGCCTCCCTTAATGCCAATGACTCCCATTTACAGATCTCATTTGCTGATATGTCGTGCTTTCTAAAATGCCCCATGTGATATTCTGACATTTTATGAAGTAAATTTGGAATACAATTTCAGACTTTCAGCCAAATTGTTTTGTTAAAAATCATCACTTTCTTTTTGGGACACAAATGGAAATTTTTCCTATATCAATATTGGCTAAAAAATTTTATATTGAAAGATATATACGCTTTCAGAAATTTGCATGCTTAATTAAAACCAAGAGATTTTCCAACAAGGAAATGTTAATGAGGGAGATATTTTGTACTACTTACTGTAAACCAATTTGTACCAAAAATTAGGTTAACTTTCTTATATCTCTAAAGGATTATGTGAAATGTCACCCCTCATATTGATACACCCAAATGAAAAACAACTACACTCAGAATACATTACCTTAAAAGATATCCAATACCCCACTTTCGCTTCAGAAACAAAGATGACCCTGCACATTTCAACTTCCCATTAGACAGAAACACTTTCCTATCTGAGTAGAAAGTAAGAAAGAATAAATTATGTGAATTCCTTATATGGGTATATTCTCTATTCTGGAGGCCAAAACACTAAATGAGTTTTTCACTATGAATACAATCATGATATAATTGAGCTCTTGGATACAGCATCACCTCCCACCCCGATGCCTACCTTGAAGAAAGACTCATAAATGCACTGCATCCCTCACAGCTAACCCAATGGAACAAACATTGCAAGGATGGCCCAATTCTTCAAGTCTCTCTTTATCCACATAATTTGCTATGTATCTTTACAGTGGTTTCTCACCATAGGCAAAGTGACCTGCTCCGTCCTTTAACACCAGTCTCCACCATGTGACTTACTTTGGCCAGTGGTGGGTTAGCAGACATTGGAAAGCAGAGACATGAAATGGGCTTACGCACTGGGGCTTGCTGTCCTGAGGCTCAGTCATCGCCCTGAGAACATGCCTGGGCTAGCCTGCTGGAAGACGAAACACACTTGGAGTGGGGATGAGCCACCTAAGTCACCCTAGCCAATGGCCACTTGACCACCACACACGTGAGCCAACTCAGTCAAGACCTGAAAATCTCTCTAGGTGAGCCCATGCTAAACTGCCAACTCTCCAATTCATGGACTACACAAATGCGTATTGATTTAAGACACTGAGTTTGGGGATGGTTTATTACACAGTATTATTGAGGTAGGAGATGACTGATCCAAGAAATAAAGTATGTTTTACCTCAGGTATCATGGAGGAAACGTAACATAGTGTTACATTGCACACCAGACAGCAAAAAGTTTCTCTTCCTTCACTGAGTCCCTTTCTGACTTCATCTTTTCCAGATTCTTCCTCCACACACTCTCCTGGATCACTAAAACTGGTGTTCCCCACCTGCCACTATTTCCTAGGCAAAAACGTTTGTTCTATCTCATTCTCCAGGTTGCATCTTTATACCCAATACCACACTCAGGGAAGAAAGGATCCTCCTAAGAAGGCAGCAGAGTTATAAATTTAAAAAGAATTTTTCCCAGTTATAAGTTTTTTTTGACCAACACAAAGCTAAATATGAAAAGTAATATTGGCATTTCAAATTTTTAAAAATATACTTATGATTAATATAGACAGTCAAGAAAATTACAGACAACAAGATACATAAAGCATGGGCTTAAGAACTCATTAGGAGGTCAGAATTCTTCTGATCTTTGGAACGAAGACACTCAAATGGACTGCAAACCAGATTTTCTTTTTTTACAAACAGGTTATCAAATCCTTGTATTAAAATATTATCTCATATTAAATCCATAAATAACTAGCTAGAATAAAGAAACCAAGAATCACCAGCCAAGATGTCAGCTTCATCCATGTACTGGGTACTAAAAAGGATCACACGACCTGTTTTCCGCTCCTTCAGAAGGTTCCAAACTTGGTGCCTTGAAAAAGGATCCAATCCAGCAGTTGGTTCATCCAGTAGCAAAACCTACAGAGGAGGAAATGTGTGAAAGCATCTTTCACTTCAGAGTGAGGATCTTCTGAAAGTAACATGGAAACCAAAGTAATTTTTAGATTCAAATATAGTCCTCAACTGAATCCCTATCAGGCTTGCATGATCCTTTATTATAAACTTTCTCTCACATTTGGTAATTAAAGCAGAGTGTGGACTTTAATGATGGTTTTATATCCTTCAATTCAAATCAATCTCAAAAACATTTTATTTTCTCACCTGAGGGTCTCCTAAAATGGCGATCCCAAAGGTTAGTTTTCTCTTCTGTCCACCGCTTAATTTTTCAGCAATGACATCTTGAATGTTTTGTATGTCTAATTCCATCATAACTCTTTTCACCTATCAAAAAAAAAAACCTACATAAATACAAAATATTTTACTTTAAGCACTCTTACTCTTTAATAATGAGAAGAAACTTATTCTAGAACTTCATTGATTAAATTTTAATTATGAAAGAATGAAGTAATTGTTAAACAAAAACACGATCAGGAGCAAATTAAGTAAATTATTTCCAAAGCCATCAATTCTAATATGTTCACCTACCTCTTGTTCCACTTCCTTTGGCTGAATCCCTTTTATTTTAGCAAATAGTGCCAGGTTTTCTCTCACAGTAAGAAATTCAAATTGAATATTAAACTGTGGGCAAAATCCAGTGTTTTTTCTGATTTCTTCCATGTTAGTTATTTCGGAGAGTTGAGTATTATAAATAGTGGCTGATCCTATAAATAGAAATTTTAAAGTATTTAACACCAGGATAGTAACCCTATGCAGAGTGATAATATAGGATATTAGTTGAAGAAACGTCACATTTTATAGTTGCATAATTAATACATTGAGAAATTCAGATTATTCTTAATATAAACATGAGTGTGCACAGCAATGCAAAGTATACATGGAATGACAAATAATAGTGGAGTACAGGCTTTCTCACGAATTTATGTAAACATGAAATAAATATTTCCTGTTCTAAATTACTCAACTGTGTAAAAGGATTGCTTTAGAGAAAGATTTTCCTTTACATGATCAGATTGAGGAACCTGCTTTATCAGCCAACTTGCTTTGTAAAATTGCTTTCTCACCTTCTGTAGAAACAGACAACCCACTAAGAATGTTAAGCAGTGTTGATTTACCAGCTCCACCATGTCCAAGTATTGCGGTGATCTGTCCTTCATATATGTCAAGAAATATGCCTGTTTTAGAATAAAATGTCAAAATTAGACTTTGGACTATTTTCAGATAGAATGGACCTTAAAAACATTGGAAGAGTAAAATGTATCTCAGCACTTCATTTCACTGGTACTCTAATATGTTCCCTATAAAATTATATATTTAATTATGTTCATTTATGAAGACAAAGCATCAATTTCTCCAGAGAAATTGGATCAAGACTGGGAATGTAAACTTCTACCTACCCCCCCTACCCCAAATTCTTTGAATATCAAAGAATATACACATTTAATATTAAAGAATACGGCAGAAGCTACCAAGAATAAAACCAGAGTAAACAGAGTGTCTGCTTGCTGGACAAAGGAAAGCAATGTGACTTAAGAAATAGTCTCGCAGAGGCTCCCAGAGCTGGATACCAAAGGGCCAGGTTTAGAAGCAAAGGGGGAGTTTATTCCATATTAGAAGGGAGGGAGGATGGGTTAAAGAGAGGATGGTCAAGTCTGCCCTGACGCTGGTCATTGTTCTGTTTTGTATAACAAAAGTGTGGGCGTGGTCTCTAGAGAGGTCTGTTGGGATCCAGGATATGTCACAGGCATTTTTATATATGTGTGTTTAGCACTTGACAATTTTTTCTTTAATATTTGAAAAATTATCTACCTCCATTGGAAAACAACAGAGAGTTCCATTAGCCTCCCAGAAATTTTGAGGGATTCTCTCAAGACAGAAAACATACGGAATTATATTGTGAGAGACTCAAAAATAAGGCAAAGCACAGCCCAAAACAGAGAATGAAAAGTTCTATGAAAGTAAAAACAATTCCAGTGATACTCCAAGCTCAGTTTGATAAATTCAGGGCAAACATTATAAACCATCATAAGTAGTACAATCCTACTTTTTAAAAAATATTTTGTATATACATATATACATAGAAAGTGATAATATATTATTGGTGACTATCCCTCAGAGTAGAAATTTTTTTTAAAATTTTCTTTTTATCTATATTCATTCTCTAATTTTCTGCTACAACTATTTTATTTTCAGGGAAAAAAATTTTAATTAAAAATATCATCAAAACAATGAAGTTGTTCTCTTTACCTTGCAATGCTTCTATTTTTTCAGGCTTTCCGTTAAATTTTTTTTCAACATTTCTGATTCTGAAAGGAGATTAAGCAACATTGAGGTAAACACATTTTTGAATAACATAAATTATGTTAACTGCCAAAACTACAGTTCATAATTGAACCTAAACTTCACAATGTGAGACATCACTATCTTAATGGGATCCAAGGAGGGCAATAGGAAAAGGCCACACTGCCCCCAAAAGAGATGTACACAGACCTGCTCATTCTCATCAAACTGGGCATTTCATATATTCCAGCTATTTCTCTAAGCTATCAAAGGAAGAGAAAGCTACAGTTGAAAGAAAGGAAGGGAGAAAGGGAAAGAGCGAGAGGCTTTCCTTCAGTCCTGCACCCTCTCTAGCTATTATTCAGTCTTCTTTCCTTTTACAGGCAAATTTATCAAAATAATAGTCTCTACTCTTGGTTTGCATTTCTTTACCTCACATTTATTCCTAACCTAAGACAACATAGCTTCTGACCCTACCACTCCACTGAAACTATTCTCAGCAAAGTCGTCAATGACATTCTAACTACGGAATCCAACAGACACTTTTCAGTCCTTGTTTAATAGATCTCATTACTGACTTAACAATTACTCACTCTTCTCTTCTTGCGAGGCTCTATTTCCTTGGCTTCTACCCTTTTGGTTTCCACATCATTCTCTCAACCTTTTTTCTCAGCACACTTTACGGAGTCCTTAAATTGGATTCTATACTTGACCAACTATTTTTCTTATTCTCAAATCTTTGCCATACAATATTGCCCACTCTCACTGCTTCAACTCTTACCTAGATCCTAATGATTCCCAAATTTGCATCTTTAGGCCTTTCTGTAAAGATTCAGATTTATATATTCAGCTTTTCACTATATAGCTGAACATGGATATCAAACTGAGTGTATTATTTTTCCCTCTAAACCGGTCTCACTTCCGTTCTCTATCTCAGTTGGTGTTTCCACCATCCACCCAGGAACTCAGACTAAATGCCTAAGAAGCATCCTTGATTCTTTCTCTCCTCCCTCTGTCACCACATCCTGTGATCTACAAAATCATTATAATTTAACCTTGTGAATTTATCTATATGATATATTTGAATTTATCCCTTTATCACTTGCCTATGACCTTCTGGTCCAGACTCTTTATCATCTCTCACCTCAACCAGGGCTACGACCTGTGTACTTGATTGTCAGTTATCCCCTTTGCATCAGTCCTAGCCCTTTCTCTTGTGCAGTGCAGAGGACACACCAGGGACTACATTTCCCAGAATCCCCTTCTCTGAATTGGACTTTGCCATTGAAAAGAATTTGGGCAAGCTTGGGAGGGCAGAAGTGAATAAAGGTCATTATTCTCCAAAAGTCTTGGAGGCCAGACACATGGGCAGACTTGAGGTTTGCAGCAGCTTCTCAGACTTTTAAACAAGTACTGCTTTGCAGCTGCAGGTTAAGAAAATTGGTGGGAGCTTTCCCAGAGAATCCTGACACTTGCAGAAGTTTGCCAGCAAACCTCAGGAGAACCACCCATTTCCCCACATCAGCCTAAGGTCATCACTGGCTGTTTCCCTGACTTTCTGGCTACAACTTTCTTGACCCTCTCTCTTCTATCCCTTGTACATTTATGAATTCCTAGTTCTTATATCAAATTCCTTTACTCCCACAATATTTCCAGCAACTCACTTTTCCTGACCTAACCAAGACTGACACAACTTCCTAAATGTTTCTATTTCTCCCATTGTGTCACCCTCAAAGCCATTCTCCATAAAGCTATGAAAGTGACTTATCAAAGGTCTGGTTGTCTAATTCGCCTCCTTAAAATCTCTCAGTGATTCTCCACACTATACAAGACAGTCTGTTCTTCTTAATTTGGCAAACAAAATTCTACATGATCTGATTTAGTCCCTACCTCTTAAGATTTACTTCACCCTCTTTGAGCCTTGTACTTTGAGCTCAGAAAAGTCAGTTTCTTGTCATTCCCTAGATACATACATTGTTTCTTGCTGGCCTATGTTGCTCATGCCATGTCCCCTGCTTGGAAGAAGCTTCACATGCCCCACCACACTTTATGTGACCAAAACATTTTCTTTCTGTAAGACTCACCCCAAGAGTCATCTCCTTCTGACCTTTTTCCACCACACAGGCTCGGCTGGATGATCCTTCTCTATGTTCCTTTAATTCTCTGTGTCCATCTCTACCACTCCTTTAACTAATTATCTATTTAAATGCCTGTTTTCCTCTAGACTCTGCACTTCCTGAGGTTAAAGACTGCCACTAATCATTGAATCCTAGTTCTAGCAGAGGGCTTAAAGAATGGTGAATAAATGAATAAAGTAACTAATTTGCCAAGAGAAACAGTCTGCTCCAGAATGATCAAAGAGGACCTGGTTTGAAGGATGTCGGGTCCTTAAGTATAGATGGAGGGAACGTCAAGGTAGATGACACGGTGTTCAGGTTTAGACAGGCTACAGCTGTCATATTTACCTGAGAGTATACTCAATTTATCTTAAAACATTAAGGGCAAATTGAATCTAAGGCCAATGAATAGGATGACTGGTAGCAACCACTTAGTTGGGAGAGCTAAATGACCTCTCTTCATACCACACGACCGTACCCATCTCCATCGCCCACTGGATGAATATGAGTCAGAGTCAAGGTTCTGGGCATTTATTGAATTCTGTTACTAAAAGGTGAACTTTTGGCCCGAAAAGGAGGAACTAATGTGTTTTTTCAGTCCTAATTTAGCTTGTTAAGTTAGCTAAATTTTCTGGTGTCAACATAATTACTATGAAAGTTAGTAGTAAGGAACATGATAAACTGGAATAGCTATCGAAGTCTTCACGTAGAAGATAGAGCTTGAAAGACTACTAATATGGCAGAACTGAGGCATTCCCTCAACTCCAGGGAATAGAGTACTTTCTCTCTGAAGTGTCAGGTTATAGTTTTCTCCTTCCTCTCTTGTCTCCCTGCTCATTTTCCACTTTTCTCAGAGACTTTTGCTGATCACCTCTACCTAACTGTTTCAAAGTATGTGAATTGGTATATCTGATTGCATATATTTGGGATATTCCTAACAGCAAACATTGTTTGAATGCCTATTATGGGCTGGGGACTACTCTAAAAGCTTTACATGGGGTAGCTCATTTAATCTCGTAACAAACTTAGTACCATTGTGATGACCATTTTTTAGATGAAGAAACTGAGGCACAGGCAAGTTAAGTAACTTAGCTAGGATCACACAATCAACAAGTGGCAAAGCCAGGATTCAAACCAGGTGGTTTAAATCCATAGGCCACAATGTAATCACTATGCTTTATCTTCTCCTCAGAATGCACTTTTCAAAAGATAACCTCACATAAATGGAATGCCACTTAAGAGTATTTCTCAATAATCTCCTTCAAAGAAATAAGCAAACACCTAGGAAAATATGTGCTAAATTATGATGGTGTTAAGAATTAGGCAGTCATTGTCTACGTATCTTCATGGTTTCCCTTAAAATCTTTTACTGACACTTCTTGCTATATTATTTCTTATTTCTATGTCCTTTCAATCAACCAAACCCATATGGATAAAGATAAAGAACCAACATTTATCCAGTTCTCATTATGTAACAAGCATATTTGCTTAATTATCTCAATCATTCTTTAATTTACCCAAGAAGAAGGCATTATACTATGGAATTACATTACACATTTCTTAGAAATGAAGAAAATGAAGCTTAGAGAGCTCATATAGTTTAGCAAAAAGTCACAAAGCTAGTAAGTTATGAAGTCTTTTGATCTCAAAATTTCAATCCATACGTTCTCTAAAGGCAGATAGTCTAAGTTTGAAAAATGTGTGTGTATTATACATCCAAAATGCCATATATGTACATACGTACACATACACAACATATACGTGTGTATGTATGTATGTAGTAGAAGACAATGCAGAGAGGACAGTATAAATGGCTGGGAAAGAAAATAGAAAGTGAAGGACAAGAAAATGATTAGGGCTACTGAATTTTGCTGCTGAGAGTATTTACTTTTAAAATGATGAATGAGAGAAATTTAAGGTGATGGTAGAAATACCTAAAAGAAAGGAACTTTCAAAAACACATCATCTATAACAACATTTGATCTGTGCTTGGCCCTTTGCAGCGTAGTTTATCAAGCTTTTACCTATGTGTACGTAGTCACACAATTTGTTAGTTACCTTATGGCTTCTTTTCCGTGGAACTCTGGAGACACTGGTTCAAAAGAGTCATCAGAGAAATACTCAGCATTTATTTCATTCTCAAAGACTTCATGATAAGTATTTTGATGTTGGGACCAATATGAAGTCTTTAGGAAAAACAATGGTGAATGCCAGCGGCCGTCTTCATCTAATCAATCAAGACACAATTGCATATTGAATCACTCATACCACATCAGTAAAGAATGACTTCTGTCCTAGTGTAACTTAATATCATCTTTGAATTTAAGTTATTATGTTGGGAATTTATGTTTTTAATGTTAAAAGTAAAGCTTTACAGGGATATTAAAGTTAAGACAGTGTTTTAGTCTTTGATAAATTCTCAGCTCTGGTTCATAAAAATAGAAGAGCTTATCAAAGAAGATAAAGTTGTAATTTATTCCTACCATAGTATATGAAGAAATATTATTTTGATAATATAGAAAAATGAACATTGAAAATAATGAGTATATCAGTCCCTATAAATCAAAAGTCAACCTTTTTCAGAGCTCTAAGAATAAAACAAAGCAGAAAAATTAAGTTATTAAGAAAAGAAAGGTAGATATAAGGCTGGTTAACTGTTGACTTCTAGGAAAAGAGTATGGAAAAGAAAAAAATTAAAATTAAGGGATCAGAAGTGGGAAGCATGGGGCAAATTAAAAATGCATTAGAAAAATGAAAGAAACACAAATCAAACTGTTTCTGCCACATCTTTACATGTTTTATTTTATGTATTTTTTTCAACTAGATATACAGATAATCCTTTAACTTTTTATGACTTCATGAAATTATACAGGGATTTTCAACAAGAGATAGTTCATATCATTCCAAGGCAGAAGGAATTGCAAGTATAATCAATTAAAAATTGCTTGACATTTAAATGGACTTATGTTTTAATGGTAAGAAAGGAGAATTACTAGAAAGTTCAGCTGTGGATCTAAAGAATCAAAGGAAATAAAATGAGATGGTATTTTATCGATATGTCCATAAAACAAGAATTTATTTGTCATAGAGGAAGGAATTTAATAGATTTTTCAGAGTCTATAGGATAATTAAAAGAACACGTAGTTTTCAAAAGTAATATTACATAACAAGCTGTTACTTAAAGCTGCTGTACTATAAAGGGATAAACCTGAGCAGGTACCACTTCAAAAGAAGAGCTGAAAGGAAGAGATCCAACAACATGCGACTTCTGGAACTATGAAAACAAAAGTGTTGGAGACATGTAGATAAATATATGGGAAAGGTAGAGCTAGAAATTGAGTGTCTTTGAAAAGAAAAATGAAAAGAACAGTGTGTCGTGGCTTTTAGAGATATAATGTGAGAGAGCACAAATGCTCAAAGATGAAATATGTGAAAACACCTAGAGCTGAACTAGCCAGAAAGAGTAATAACACTGTGAAAAAGCAAAGGAAAAATTTTAAGAGGGAAAAATTAAAACTGAGAAATAAATTCGTTTTATTTATAGAAATGATAGCATTTTTTAAAATATGTCTAAGATTGAACAAATTTTTTATACTCCTGTTTTGCTGCCAAGCAGTTATTTCCTGGTTAAGTGGCATTTTATTTACGCCCAGTAGCCAAAGCCAGAAATGAGAGCCATCCTGATCTCCTCCCCGTCTCTCACTTCCTCCAGCTCAGTGTAATTAACCACCAAATCAGATTGTTCCTATAACCTAAGTATCTCTTGGGTCTGTCCTCCCTCTGTATTACACTGACACCTTAATTGGGTCTCTTTCTCTCTCTGACATGGATTATTACAACAGTGTCCAACTGCTTTGAGCCCATCCTCCAAACAGCAGCCAGAACGATCCTCCTAAAACACAAATCTCAGCAGTGAAAAATCGTATGTGAACTATTTCAGTCTGTCTCTATTTCCTGTGGTTTTAAGGCTCTGCGATTTCTTCAACAAATAATATTTTTGAAAATAAACATATTGTGCTAATTAAGGACAATTAAAAAACTTACTATCTGTGCTGACCATCACTGCAAAAAAAAGAAAAAATATTTTCACTATAAAAATATAGATATAGGGACTGGCCCATTCACCCAGTGGTTAAGTTTGGCATGCTCCCCTTCAGTGGCCTGGGTTCTCGGGTTTGGGTCCCGAGCTCAGATCTATACTACCCATCAGCCATGCTGTGGTGGTGACCCACATAGTAAGTGGAGGAAGATTGGTGCAGTTGTTAACTCAGGCCTACTCTTCCTCACCAAAAAAAGAAGACTGGCAACAGATGTTAGCTTCAGTCTAATCTTCCTCAGCAAAAAAAATATATAGATAGAGAAAGGCTATAATCTCATAATACAAAAGATAACTTCAAACTAAAGAATTAAGGTATATAAGCAAATTTCACATCTCTTTTCTCATTTCAACAAAAACAAGTGAAAACTTTGTCAAGGATCATCACCAATACTTGAACTGCCCTAGAGGACAGAATCCCAAATTCTGCGCCTGACCTATCAAGTGACCTATGAGCAGGCATGTACAGAGGGACTTAATTGGAGGTAAGCCTCAGAATCATTGGGATCTTTACCACCCTGTGCGTAGCATGCACAGTCGTGTATTTCAAAAAAAAAAAAAAAATCTCCTCTTGTAATTCTTGTTAGCTGGTTAATAATTCCTACACTACAACCACATCTCACACGCAAACTATGTACCAGTTTTACCTAACAACTTTTAATTTCTTTTACACTACCTCGTTTCCCATTGCTGGGCACGCATGCTGTTTCTTTCAACTACAAAATCTTTTTTGCGTTCTTGTCCACCAGGTAAACTTACTTATCCTTTAAATGCAGTTGAAGTTCTTTCTTCCAAGCTTTTCCTGACCCATCAATGTTTGACTTACCCTATCATAGAAACTTGTGGTATCCTCTCTTATCACACTTCCTACACTGCATTTAATTATTAATTTACATAAGTATTTCCAGCACTAACTATGAAAGCCTTGAAGGTACAAACTGCTCACTCACATAGGCTTTAATAAGTAGTTATGTGTTAAATAGGTAGATGAAAACCGATATCAAATTAGTATCAATTTCATGGGAAATTCTTGGTTTGCTTTGGTTCAGAAAAAGAATTATAAATGTAAAAATATTTATATATGACCTACTCTAAAAATGTAGATTTGAAAGATGTTTATAAAAAATTGGATTGAAGAATACTTATTGTACCCAAGTAAAGGAAAGTGAGATTGAATCAGACTTACGTACAAACAAAAAGAAGGAGAAAGAGAAGGAGAAGAAGGAAGAGGAGAAGGAGGAAGAGGAAAAGAGGAAATAGTTGTTTAATTTGAACCTGAGGGAAAGAAAGGGCTCATTCTTGCATTCCTTCATTAAATATTTATTGAGAGTCTCTTGTGCACCATGTAGTCTCCAGATGGAAAAACACACATTGCTTGTCTTGAAGAAAGTTGAAATAGGAAGACAAATATCTGCATTTATTTAATGCACCAGGAATCTATAGAGTAACTACTATGTGCTGAACACGGTTCTAGACGCCTGGAGATATCAGTGAAATAAAAAGCAAATATCTCTTCCCTCGTGGGACTTCCACTCTTATAGACTTTTCTCTGACTTACAGATAAAAGACAAGAAATAAATAATGAATATAATAGACATTTAATTCTATGTAAAAAAGTTAAAGGAGAGTGTTAAGTCAGTTTCAAGACATTAGGATAGGACAAATATGTGATATGGCACAGAGTTGTGAGAGGGAAAATCCAACTTTGGAGTATTATAAGCTTATGCCTTCCTCTCTCACTAGAAAGAATTCTGATTTTACTTACTAGGTTCCTGGCCCTAGAGAGTAGAAACAAATTGATTTGATTTATGTTGCAAAAGGTAATGAACGATGGGTAAAAGAGATAATAAGAATTCCAAAAGGATGAAGATGATGAGAAAATAAAGATCCAAGCCTCAGTTTATTTGGGGACACTTTTAAGGGTTTAGAGAAAAGGAAGTTTTTAAGGCCCTTGCAATGTGTGTGAACGAAAGTGAGTGCATACATGGGGAGATAAGATATGGGATTTTAATTTCCATTTTGTGGGTTTTCAAAATGGCAGTAAACTTTTTCAATTATTTGGACACTAGAGTACTGAATCTTTGATTGTGACCTGTGCCAAGGCAAGGATGCATGTTAACTTGGTTTTATATGAGTTACACACATTATATGTTACTTTTTGGTTCAAAGAAGAAATTTCATTTAATTTTAAGAAATCATTTACCTATTAATGGAACCAATAAGAGGTATAGGTGATAAAACCCTAAAATAATAGTATAATAGAGATAAAGAACATGAAACAAACAAAAGTTGAGAAGAAAACTGTAAATATTTTTTAAATAGATACCTGAATTAGAAAACAGATAAAGGAAGATACCAAAATTAATATGGTGTGAAAAGGGTAGAAATATTCAGATTCTGACAAGTAAGAAGGAATTATGTATGAGTAAAATTTCCAGTTTTTCTATAGACAAAAGAGAATATAAGTATATTAGTTTCTGGGATTATATATGAATACTTTATAGGAATTTCATAATAATTATTTAAAAGTCATTTATGGAGTTTATTTTATTAATTTTTAAAACACTATAGAAAGGATTCTTGTTAGGCTGATCTTCCCACAAGAAGGAAGAAAAGAAGAGGCCATTCGTCAACTTTATATGGTGTTTCCTCTTTACGTTCTTGAGATTCAAAAGAAAAAGTTTGCTAGAGCCAAGTATTGGCAAGAACTATTGAATGAAGTATCTTACATCAGAGAGTTCAATTCAAGCACTAAAAAGCAGCATTAGCCAATCGCTGTTTTAGTTATTTCCTTTCCTCTCCCCAGCTAAAACACACACACACACACTGTACCTTCATAAAAGATAAAAATCAGAATAAATGCAAGTTATTTTTAATTAAAATGTTTTTACAAAATAGTTACGTTCAGACCAAAAAACAGTGAGACGAACAGGAAGAAATTCTATTGTTTTGAAACTTCTTCCTTTCTTCTGCAATCAGAAATGCTTGTTAAACCAAAGTAAACAAATATTTAGACATCACCTTAGAAGAAACAGAATTGCTTTAAATTCAACTTTAACCACACTATTACTTACCAGGCAAAACTCGCTCAAAATATAAGGTCAATATCAAACAGAGCAGAGTATCAAGTGCCAAAATGAAGAAAGTAACTATCATTGTGTACGCCTCTCCAGAGGGATCAGGAAAAATGGCACCAACCATGTGATAATCCAGATGCAAAATCTGAGATTAGAAAGAATAAAATAAAATAAAAGTTAGATGAACCTATAAAACTAGAGTTTTAAAAAATGGTGCTCCCTAGATCAATATAATTCATGTTTTAATATCCCTTTCTTCAAAAATGCACAGTAAAGTTGTTAGCAGTAGGGTTACTTTTTACAAATAAAATTATGGTCACAAAAGTGGGAAATGCTATATGAGAAAGTAGAACAACTGAAAAATAGAAATTTGACTGATTATCACAGAAGTTTTAAAGGAGAGGATTTGGAGAAGTGGATGAGCCACCAAAAATAACAGATTCTGGGAAGAGAAACTCAGAGTAGGCAGTGAAACTAGAAGCCATTTAAAGGGAACATAAAAATGCTAAGTATAAGATATTGCAGAACGTTAAAATATTAAATGTGCTGAAGGCTCAAAGAAATTATTTTTAAAGATAAAAATAATAGGTAACGTTCACATAGCATGTATCAGGCACTGTTCTAGTGTTATACACTTATAATAGCACGGGAGTCCTCCCAATGACCCCCATGAGGTCAGTTCTGCTGACATCCCCATTCTGCAGAAGAAGAAAGTGAGGCCACAGAAGTCAAGTGACTTGCCGAAGGTCATCCAGCTGTTGAGTAGTAGAGCTGAAACTCATTCATGCCATCTGGCCTCACTCATTCCTTATAACCTCCACACTTTACTGCCTCTTTAAATAGGGACATAAATCTGAGCGGTCAGATAATGGGCAATTCCTTTTCTTCTTTAAATTTTCTAGGATTTTACAAATGATCTATCTGCTTTGTTTATTACTTTGATTAAAAAATTCTTTTGTTTATTTAGCTTTCTAACAGCAAAATTTCTTAAACTACAGGGTGATTGATCAACAAGTTTCATGAAGCAATAAACTCTTTGATAATTTTGAAAATCTTATAAATAAGATGATGAAATCATCATGTTCTTACCTGGGCCATCCCAGCAGTGAAGGCGAAAGGGCTGAAAAGACCTAAAACCCATTCCAACGACGAAGGAAGTTGTCTAAACAGTGCCGTGAATCCCAGGCATCCCCAAAATACAGTGAAGAGAAACCCAGCCAAACCGGTGAGGATAGGTTTCTTTATCAACACGCTTAGGAGGAAAGCCAACGTTATCTGAAGGAAGAAAGAAGATTGGTAGCTGGTATATTTTTTCCTCTGAGAATCAGGAAAAGCAATAGTCATCAATTTCTCACATTGCCAAAAAAGCTTTCTCAAAACATAGAGAAAACAGTTTACAAAATTAGTGACTATACCATTGTAATATCCTGAAGAAACATTATTTGCTCATATATCTGAGACCTGAAACAGATTAAGAGCTATATGGTGTGCCAACTCACCAAAGACAGGCCATATAGGATAAAGAGTGTGAATATCACCATGAAGCCAGTCATTACTATAATTTGGATAGATGTTATGACCAGAGCCATAAAAATGGACATAATAAAAATGAAGCCAGCATACATCAATCCCCAGGAGAGCCTAGGATAGAAATAAGTGTCAATTCCAAATGTCACATGCTCACAAATATTTGGAGAAGCAATATGCAAAACGGTTAATATAAGTTCTGAAAGCAAACATACCAGGGTCAAATTTACTATAAAATTGTGGCTATGTACATTCCAGCTGTGTGATCATGGCAACTTATTTATGGTTTCTCACCCTCATCTGCAAAATGGGGTTAATATGGTAGCTATCTCACATGGTTGTTCTAAGGATAAATGAGATAATGCACATGAAGACTTTAGCTTAACCATTACCATAATTATCTTTACAATTGTAGAATGAATTTTAAAATTAATATAATTAGATAATCTTAATTATCTAGTCAAGTGAGTTAATTATGTAGTCAAGTGACTACATAAATGTCAATGGAAAACTAATCATCTCACCTTTAAACTCTCTTATACCAAACTTCCTTAAGGTATACAATTTTTCTGAATGTTTGACTGAAATCTCTGTGGTTTAAGTAAAGCTCATTTCGTTTTTTATTCTTATATGGCTATTGACATTAGCCACTCAATGAATTGTTTTTAAGAATCAGAACACAACAGTCTGCTAGGAAATACAAAACTAAAACAAAGCGAAAGGGGTCATGGGGGTTCAAGCTATACAGCAGTGGCCCAATAGCACAGTACTCAAAACATGGTTGCTTCTGTAATCTGTGGAAATAGACAGAAAGATGTGTTTTACAAAGGAAAAGGACTCTCACTTTTAAAAATTAACCTTTCATGAAAACACTAATAAACTGCCAAGTACTCTCTGGATTTACATAGGGCCTTCAGCTTAAGTGTGAAACTTTGCACTGATAATGCATTTGAAAACCTTTCATATACTCTTTTGTAGTACATATATATAAGTTGTTAACACACAAATAAATAGCATTTTCATGTATATGAACACTAAATGTAACTGATTATGGTTTTCCTAACTTTCTCATGCTTTCCTTACTTAATTTGAAATTTTAAAAATGTTTTATAAATATAAATACCCAACAATCTTATTCAGTTCATTTTTGAAGGTAGGGTAAATCTTTCATCTGTGAAAATATCTACTCTAATAATTAAAAGTATTTTTTGAAAGAGCTGGTCATAGATTGAGGTAAAAAAAAGCATGGAATATAACGATTAGTGAAGAAGAAGAAAACAAATGAGAAAAAAATGGACAACTTTTATGTTCAATGAATTAATAAGAACATGAGACTATATAAATTCCAATATAAGCTTAAAAGCATACACCAAGTCAAATACAATTATTTGCTATAATCCAGGCTTTTGTCATTTATACTTTGCTGATGGGAACATAAAATGGTATACCCACTCTAGAAAACAATTCGGCAGTTTCTTATAAAACTAAACTGCCATACAGCCCAGCAATCATACCAGTGGGCCTTTATCCCAGAGAAATAAAAACATCTTCATATAAATACCTGGACGTGAATGCTCGTAGCGGCTTTATTTGTAATATCCCAAAAAGTGCAATACTTCCAAAACTGGAAGCAACTCATATCTTATTCAAAGGTTGAAGGGTTAAACAATCTGAGAGATATCCATACTGTGGAATAGTACTCAGCAATAAAAAGGAATGAATTGTTGATGCACGCAACATCTTGAATGAAATGCCAAGGAACTGTGCTGAGTGAAAAAAATAAACTCCAAAGCTTACATAGTATATGATTCCATGTATACAGCATTCTTGAAATGCCAAAATTATAGAAAAGGAGACCAGATTAGTGCTTACCAGGGGTTAGAGATGGGGGATAGGGAAGACAGAGTTGAATGTGGCTATAATCATGTAACAGGAGAGATCGCTGTGGGATGGAACTGCTCTGCATCTTAACTGTATCAATATCAATAATGTGCTTGTTATATCGTACGATAGTTTTGCAAGATGTTGTCACTGGGGGAAATTGAGTAAAGGCTCCTTGGAATCTCTCCAATTATTTTTTACAACTGAGTATGAATCTACTCAAAATAAAATGTTTAATTAAATAAAACTGTAGTTACCTGTAGAACCAAGACGAAACGATGTTTAAAAAGGAGAAAGTACGGTATATACTCTGTCGATGGAGATATAGGACAACTCCAAAAAATTGGGGGACTTGGGGAGAGCATATGGAAAAAACTACTTTAACTGTTTTCAGTTAGTATATTGAAATAGTACTATTGGTATTGTTAGAGTGTAGTATAGGTACTTCTGGATAAAACAAATGAATAATTAGGGATATTCTAATTCTAATATTCTCTATCTCTCTCCTGGAGAACCAGAATTCTCAATGCGTAAGAAAGGAAATACAGTTGTACTGTGAGAGAGGTTAAGTAAAAGCCCTATAGTGCTACATTTGAATTGTAAGTATCCGTATGCACTCATAAGACATTTATCTTTAATGTGTGTACGTTATTCTATATATAAAATGTAGAATATACATAATTCTTCTATCTCTGTCTGCTGAAGAAGCCTAGAAAAAATGATCAATCCAATAGTAAAGAATATTTCTAGCATACAATGTTCTTGAAACACTTTTTCCAACTAAAAGAAACAGGAGTATCGCATCATGCAAAATAGAAAGGAACCTATAAAAAATCTTACTTAGAATTTTCTCAAAAAGAATAAGAAATCAGCCTGAAGCGGCTCCATTTGATCAAAGATAGGACAATTTGAGTTTCAATAAGAATAGAAATTACAATGGATTGAAACATACTAGACTTACGTACATCAATTTATAACGGTATTTAAAAAACTAGTCATCTTTGGAGGTTGTTAGGGAAACAGTTAATTATGTTGAAAACTAATAAAGGAAAAAGTTAAGCAAAAAATTCTGTTTTTAATCATGTTTTATCTCTTTTTCTTCTATTCCACCATTTTAAAAAAATTAGCCCCAATAAGAGCTAATCTTAATTCATGTGTATTTAAACCAAATTCTCTTAATTTTTAAGATAATTATGGTTCACAGAACTGAAATTACAAGAATTTCATATGAGAGAAATCTACAGTTGGAAATGGATTACAATGAATAATTTTCATGATCTGTTCACAATGTTTTATATGAGAAATTACCCTTAAGATTCTTTGGGAATTCTGCATTCTTGAGTTTTTTTCGAGTTAAGGAGATTATAGCAAAATTTATACCTGATCAAGGAGAAAGTGGAAGACAGTAAAATAAACAAGAGGAGTGGGGGCTTTATAAGAAATATAGCAGTTTACCTCAATACCTGGGATGCCTGCATCTGCTACTGGGGCTGTCTTGGTGGTTAAATTGCCAAAACCATACTTTTTTATGCATATTGTTTCATTTTTAAAATCTCTTTTCCTTGTCTTTGAAGAGAAAGAGGGGTAACGAGCATACTTACACAAACACTCTCCCCAATAACTGATGCAACACTAACTAATTTTTAAAAATCTCTAGCCAGTGCAAACCCTGCTACCTTGCACAGTTCTATCTCTTGAAAACCATCTTCTGTGTTTTACTTCAATTTGGGGCACTTAGAAAATTGGATCCAAATGTAATACTTATCTCAAAAACACTAAAGACAATAGGGTTTGCATTTCTGTTGGCTCATTCCACCAACAGCTGTTTCTACTGAGGGAAAAATATCCCCTAGTCACTTATTTTATTTTATTAATATTTCCGAGTTATGCAGCAGAGTAGGTAAAAGAATGGGGTTCTTAGGCAATATCTTAACTTTTCTGTGCCTTGGTTTTCTTACCTATAAATTGGAGATAACAGCACCATGAGCTGTGAGTGATCCCTGGCATACAATAAGCTCAATGTTCACTATTATTACCATTATTATTATATGTTATGTCAAAGTCTACAGGAAAAGGGCAATAGATAAATGGATAGAGATATTTCAGGGAAAGAGACAGACAGACAGATTCATTTTACTATGCACCTTACAAGCACCAGGCACAGTCTGTGCCAGGTAGCTTAAACACGTTGCCTCATTTAGTCCTCAATGCCACCCAAAGAATATCTTTATTGAGTAGCTACATGAATTGGCTTCAATAATATTGTGGTAAATTAGTTTACTTTTCAAATTTTTCACTTCCTTCTCCCCCTCTTCACTTCCATGAAGAGAGCATAATTCCCCATATGACTGATCTTGGGCTTGGCTATTTGACTTGCTTTGGCTTCGTGGTGGGCAGAATATACTTCTTTGCCCTCTGAATTTGGGTTTGTCTGCATGACTTGCATTAAACAAAGGGATTGTATCAGATATGACATGAGCAGGAGCTTGAAATGTGCTTGCATAGTGAGACTTGCCCTCTTGCACTTCTGTGATTGAATGAGAAGAACCCGTTCAGCCAGCCTACTGACCCGAAGAGAAGGAGAGACACACAGAACAGACCTGGATGCAACCTGCACTTTGGATCCAAGCCCAGCCAAGCCCTGACTAGATCCACCAAAATCCAGCTACACCACAGACAAACAAGAAGAATAAGTGATTGTCGTCTGAGGTCACTGGGTTTTGGGGTGATTTTTTATGCAGCATTTTCCCGGCAAGAGTTAACTAATACAAACATATTTTTTTCTTCATCTCAGGGAAGCATAAGCACAAAGCTTACTTATTGTCTACTGCCAGCATCTTAAAATCTAATCCAGGTAAGCTAATTAAATTGAATGCATGCAAGACAAACTTGTGACTGCATCTAATTTCTTTTATAACCTAAAGAGGTTCTCTATTTATTAATGTGTGATACACAGGTAAGGAAGCATCTTAACTTACCAGAATGCTGACTCTCTGAGACCCATTACTGTCATCAGTTTCTTAAATTTTTTTCTTTCTCTTGTAACATTTAATGATGCAAAGTATACAAAAGGGGAGAAATAAACTACACAAATAAAGATAAACCATTCACTTATAGATCCTCTGTTAAAAATGAAAGGTAAAGTCCTCATATTTATCGCAATAACTGATGTCAGCTCCTCCATCACAGAATGATTTGTTGTGACCTAAATTGGGATTTAAGAAACAAATTTATTATGTAAATTATAGAAAATATATTAGAAAACCATACACATTTGTTTCTTTTCATTTTCAGTATTTGCATATTTCCATCGTTTTAAGATATGGTGAACTATTAATATCATCAAAATGATCTTGACTTTTGGTATTAATTGATAGTAATTATAAAAGTCATTTGAGAAATTCCTGGGGGTTCTATCATGCACAATATACTGTGATAGGTGATGGAGAGTTAGCAGCAATCCAGACAGAAATACTCCTCACTCTCATGGAGCTTTACATTAAACAACTCGTTTCACAATTACTTGTTAGTTACAATCGAGCAGCTGCATTTAAAGAGAACCAGAGAGTGCTGGGAGAGCAAAAACAGGGAAGGCTTCCCCAAGAAATGACATTTAGACCAAGAGCTGAAGGCTGTGATCTCACCCGAACAAAGATTGTGTGGGAGAGTTGAAGACGGAGAAGAAAATTCTGGGCAGGGGAAATGGCATGAGCAAAGGAAAGAAGGAGCACAGTACATTAGAGGCACAGAAAAGAGGTCCCTGCAGTAAAAATAGACAGATAAAGAGATAGAGAGAGAGAGACAGAAAGAGAGAGAGAGAGAGGGATGGAGAGTGCGGATGAGGAGGGAGAAATAAACTACTCCCATAGTTCAAGCAGGAGATGATAATGGCTTGGACTGGTGCTGGTGGCAAAGCTGAAGAGAAGTACGTAGATTTGAGCTTAGAATTAACAGGGCTAGACAAGAGATTGGATGTAATGGGTGAGGTCTATTTGGTCGACTACATGGGTGGTTTTGGCGTTCACTGAGATAGGGAAAATTTTAAAAGACTCAGTCACATTTAGAGAAAAACACCCACATTCAGTTTTGAACATATTAGTTTGAATTGTTTATGAGGCATCAAAGTAGGTATCTCCAGTAAACAGTTAGATATGTGGAACTGGAGCAGAGCTCAACAAACTACGGTCCACAGACCAAATCTGGCCCACCACCTGTTTTTGTAAGTAAAGTTTTATTGGAACACAGTCACACTCATTTGTTTATGTATTGTCTGTGGCTGCTTTCATGTTACAACAGCAGAGGTGAATAGCTGCGGTAGAGACAGTTTGGCCCCCAAAGCCTAAAATATTTGCTATCTGGCCCTTTACAGAAGAAGTTTATGTACAAGTTGACATAGGGTTCTTGGAGTTATCAGCATATAAATTGTAACCAAAGTAATGGAAATGAATGACTTTGTCTAGAGAAAGTATATAGGATGGAAAACAATGTCTAGGATAGAACGCTGTAGAGCTACAGATTCAAAGTGGGAGTGTCAACTGGATAAGCTGGCAAGAAGACTGAGAAGGAAGGGAGAGAAAAGTGAAGGAAAACAAGGCAAATGCTTATGTTATTTAGTTAAACGATCAATTAAGGAAAGGAATGAAAAATGGCAGTTGTTAATTGACGTGGGAGTTGTTGCTGACCTTAGAAAAAGCCATTTGGTGGTGTGGTGGGCATAGAAACCACAGTGAGTTGAGTTGAGCCTAAGTGAAGACAATCCTTTCATGAAGCTTAGCCGTTAAGGGAAAGGAGCTAGAATACTTGCTTGAGGAGAAAATGAGGGAAGGCCTTGATAATAAGTGAAGAAATCAATAGTTTTAAACCTCAAAGAGAAGAATCTAGTTTAAAAGGGGAAGTTGAAGAAAGAGCAGACAGAAGGGAAAACCCATTGCACGGCTTTCCCAATAATGTTGGAAGGGATGAAATCCCAAGAATTGAGGACGGACACTAGGGATGGGCAGATGAACAGGATGGGTGTAGTGAGTAGTAGTTCTACAGTTTTACAGAGTTTGTGTTGGGAAGTTGAGAGGTACTCTCATCTGACAGCTTCTATTTTCTCTAAGAGTGAAAGGCAAAGTATCATCTACCAAGAGTGTAGGGGCAAGGTAGAGCATGAGACAGAAATTGGAAGAGAGGGAAAAAACACAGAAGATTTAAAATAGGTCTTTGAAGGTAGGCACTTACTTCTATAATTGCAGCATTAATTGCAGTTTGAAAAGCCACAAACCCTCTTTGCCAGAATGTTGTCAAGGAACAAAAAGGTTCATCTTGATCAGCCCAACAGTGTTCTTCAAGGAAAAAGAAAAATATTCCCATCATTAGGAGCTGGAGTCAATTACTGGAGTTAATATTTTAACTTAGGCTCTAAAGTAAAATAAATGTCTGCTCAGAGCCTATGATTACACAATCTAGAGCATTTTTAAAGCACTCTGCAAAACTGGAAGAAAGGAGAATATTACTGGGTGGTTGCCAAAATAATGAGATTCTTCCTGTAGTGAAGACCGATCAAGTTCAGAAATAAAAAGTATATGGCTACTTTTCTTCATTTTACTAACGTTTCTATCAGTCATGCCCAACTGGGGATTTGACGAAGTAGCAAAAAAGATTGGAATCAATTCTCACATAGTTACCTGAGTATTCCAAGTGTTCTTTTATAATTGGGATTCCGTACCCCCAAGGAAACTTCAGCCGATATGAAAAAGAATCATTAAACACAACTCCCACCATTTCGGGGTGTTTTTTTGCGAGTACTATATCGATGGTTTCTTCATCAGGAGTCCCAATGACTGTTCTTCCTGACATGTATGAAAAACATAAATAATCATACAAACTTATTACTAGAAGACACAAAACCAAGTTGCAATTGTTTAGGTTTTCCATAAAATTATGGGTGTTAAACACTATCCCTAAATAGGTGCCTCTAAGTTAAGGGCTGAAAGTCTTTTCTATTGATCTAAGTTCAGTGTAGATATGTGAAAAGAAATGTGAATGATGTATTGTTTTTTTAAAAACCAATTTGCAGCATATTTTTTTAGTGTGCTCCCATTTTGGTAAGGAAAAACTGAATTTGTGTGCCTATATGCATATAGAAACATATATATATATATGACCATGTGTATGTGTGCATACATATTATCCTAAAAAGACACACACAAATCTAAATGAGAGGTATAGAAGGGGAGGAAGTGGTGGCTAGGCTAGAATGAAAGCAAAACTTCTCATTTTTTTGCTTCATGCAAGTTTATATTGCTTGGCTTGCTTTTAGGCTATCTATTACTTTGGTGATTAAAATAATTAAAAATTAAAAAGAAAAAATATTTTAAATAATCAACAGAAATACTTGAGAATTTGGTGGGGTTTTTCCCTGCCAAGATTATAAACTGATTTCTACCCCATGAAAATAGTATGCCAGTAGAAATAAATTGCATGCAAAGAATCAGAGTACAAAAATCACAAGTACAGTTACAATCCGCCTATAGATTCTTTGGAGTCAAGAACACTCTCTAAGAATTAAGCTTATAACATTCGTAATGGATGAATTTACAATCTGCAGAAGAAATCCACCCAACAGATGGTTAATAAATCTGTTACTAATGCAGGCTTTTGAAACCTCTGAAATCCAATTTATGCTTTCCTTTTTTAATACTTTCTTATACTTTCATGTATTATGTTCTAAAATTTGTATTAATTTTAACAGTGTTTAAATCTCACTCAGGGTGATGTCTACATGGAAAAGAAAAGCTATTCATTTGTACACTGGCTATATCTTTCAAAACTGCTCATCCTTCCAAACATAGAATAAGGCTGTGAAACTTTTATGAGGACAATGCTAATTTCACTGATTTTCTCTAAAGGTATACAAATACTGTCAAGGTCAGACATGAATACTTGTGCCCAAGAGCAAGAGTTAGGTAAACGTAGAATGAGACAGCGTGAGAGGGCTGTAATTGGGACAGGCTGGCGTGGTAGCTGGAATTGGGTGTTTACGGGTGTAGACTCCAATGAGCCATGAGACTGTAAGGCTGAAAGCAGCACACAGCTTGCACTGGGCCCACAGGAAGGCTAGTCTCTGAGGTTTTTGTAAACGCTTCCTGAGTTAAAAAGAGATGAGGTAAATGATCAAATGGAGGAAGCACAGAGAGTGAGATCGGGGTTGAATCAACACTAGTCAGGCAGAGTACATGAGCAACGTGGGTAAGGGAGGCAGGCAGAAGTCAGAGCTCCAGAAGCTTCAATGAAGAATCACAAAACAGGGGAAAGTGGCCAGAGATGAAAAGCGAAATTATCTAGGATAGGGTCCAACCTTCGTTTCTTACTCCAGCCTTACTTTATGGAGTATACATCATACTCACAACGACTCACAACATCATGGATTTCAAAGATGAGAGAGATGAAGGGTATATGTGCTAATTCAAAAGCCCCCAATTAAAACTATTTCACTTCTCACCCACCTACCCTTAGCCCCACACTAACCCCTGTGCTACATGTGGAATCAGGATCTTTGCCCTGGTTGAGAACCACTGACCCATAGGTGGGGTTGAAAAACTCAGTTTGCAAAACAAACTTCAAATTAAACATGTGTAGGTTGCCTAATGATGAAACATTGGCCACTGGACAACACACCTTTCATAAAAGAAGCCAAAGCCATCTTATCCATTATCTTCTGCGTCATGTTAGTTACTGGGGTATATGCCACCACTAGATCGGAGTCATTAAATTGATCCATACGTCCCAGAACATGAGGAGGCTGTTCAGGAAAATGGGTAGCTCTGAAGAATTCTGAAGAGAGGCACAAATATAGCCCAAGAAGCAACGATATTGTCCATTCCTTCAGTGAATGAAAGAAAAATGAACCAACTTATAATGTGGTCCAGAACAGTGAGAAACATTCAAACATATTTTAGGACAGAAAGTATTGTCATTGAGCACGGCTTCGTTTCACTCTCCAATTTTTTCCTTTCTGGAATACTATCTAGCCTTTAAAGAAAACATCATTTCAAAAACATATGACTTTGAGATACTATCAAATATGTCCATTGATCTTAACCTAGTAACAGGGCACCCTAATAGTAAGATCACTATTGATTATATGCCCTCATATGTGACATAATATAAGTATATAGCATCACATATGAGATGTTCTTGCCAAATTATTTAACCTGAAGTTAATCATATTTTTAGATCTAACTTCCTGTTTACAGGACATATGGATGGTAAAGAAATGAGTTAAATGAAAGCATGAAGAAGCAATCAGATAAGACAGAACACAGATATTCAACAAGATATGCTTTAGTCTCATTGGTTCCTGATTTAAACAAACCAACTTTAAAAGATGTTTTTGGGCAACTAGACTTTGGTAGTAAACACGATGTAGTCTATACAAAAGTCGAAATATAATGATGTACACCTGAAATTTATATCATATTATAAACCAATGTTACCTCAAAAAAATCAAAATAAAAAAATTAAGTAAAATAAATTAAAGGCATTTTGCAGAAAATTTAGAAAATTGAATTTGTACATGCAATTAAATGATTATATAACATTATTACTACCTTTGTGAAGTGTATTAGGGGTTATGTAGAAGAGCATGTCCTTGATTTTTGTAGATGCTAGCTGAAGTATTTAGCAGTGAAGTGTCATATATCTTGAAAGAGGGGGAGGGTAGAGAGAAATGAAGCAAAGACAGCAAGATGTTAATAGTTGTCATCTGTTGTGGGTGAATAGGATAGGAAGTGAGTTCATTGGACAAATATTTCTATATTTTGAGATTTTAAACATTTTTAATAAGTTTTTTAAAAAACTCTAGCAGGGGATCATTATAAATTTACTCTTTGTCAATATAACAACTGAAATATTAGAAGTTAATTGCTTCAAAAGCTATTGCAGAGAATGAAAAGAATTATGTGAACTCTGCTAGCATACACCGAAATGCTACTTGCTATTTCAAAAACCAAATGCAGCCTCTATATGGCCAAGGCAGTCCCAGATATATCTCATGGGAACATATAGCAAATCTCTTCACCCTAGTGTCCACATCCTTATTCTAGAAACTCAACAGAATGCAAAAACACTGACAGTCAGTGATCTGGCCCCCTGAAACCACTCTATGTTTACAAAAAGCACAGTGTTGAAAAGAGATCCAAAAAAAGTTTCCTAATTTTTGCTCATAGATGTTTTTCCCCCAGACCTACAAATTAACAAAGTCTTAATCAAAATGCCCCCAGTATAGCGCTGTGGGCTGCTCATTTAAAAATCTATCTCATTTTGTCTAGCTTATTTCCTTTTTTTCCCCCACCACCAAAGTTGGCTCAGAGTAAATTAGAACATCTCCACAAAATTCAAGGGGATTAATTATTTGGAGAATGGCTAGTGCTATTCAATAAACTATTACTTTATTTTTCAGGAGCTGTCATATGAGTCCTTTGGTTATGAATATTATCCTATTCTACACTATATCTTATTCTGCAATATTTGCAAAATATTGTATTTAGAATTCCAAATCAACTAGCATCAAGAATTTGTGAACACAAAACAAATAATAAAGATAAGATAATACTACATGATGGATTTGCATTAACTAAATATGGAAAAATATATATTGTCAACCATACCAATAAGCTCTCTTTTTTCATTCTCCATTTTTTAAGAAAATTCTTGTACAGAAGGGCCTGCGTTTGTTGACACACGCTTATCTCCTTTTTAATCATTTTGTCCTGTTCGTTGAGAGAGAAGGTAAAGTAAATATTGTACAGCAATAACTAGAAGAAAAAAAGACCAAAACAAGTCCAATTACAAAAAAGCTTGTGAACACTTTGAAAACATAGGATCAGATACACTAATTTAATTCCTTCTTTGACATTGCAGTAACACATTCCATAGGAGTTTTTTAGCAGCAGGAAGTATTAATGAATGTAAAGTACCTGTCAGCTGGTATTTCTCTCCAGGCTCTTATGGCTAGGAGAGAGGTGAGGACGATGGTGTGGGAAGTCTCTCCCCTCTTGTCTCAAAATTCACTTTTTTCTGCGAAGTCTTAACATTACAGCAATCTAAAGTAAATCAGTGAATAAGATGCTAGTAATGTTTAGAATCCAAAAACGCTTTGCCCTTTACATAGTTTAAAAAAAAAGCATAACAGGAATAAAATTATCTCCAGTTTCTTTTCAGTCAGAGATTTGCCCACAAGCAGTCTGAATTTGAACGGCACGCTTTTGCACACTTACTTAATATCTAGGTAACTTCTGAGTAAAGGAAAGTTGAATCACATTACAGTCATTCTCAGAACCCAAAGAGCTAATTCCTCCTCTCTAAATTCATGGGGCCCTCTTAGGAAGTCAGTATGTAAGATACATACAGATGAAAACCAAAAACATTAGCCAGCTAATATGACTGGAGTAATTGATTTTAGGTCAGCATATGTAACAGGGATCCTTCTGTGTTTTCAGCTTGAAATTCCAGAGACGATCACTTGGTGTCACAGCCCTGCTTACTTAAGTTCATTCAAATACCTGTCATGTCGTTTACAAATTACAACATTCAGACAACTTGCTATATGTCCGTTTGTGATAAAAGCTGCCAAATACCAAAATAATGTCTAAATTCGAACTGGAGAAAGTCTCTGAGTTAAAACACCAGTCTTCACTTCATGGATGTAGAGGTCTGTTTGAGCAGATCAGTAAGCAACCCACGGAGAGATCTTACAAGAAACAAGAAACCACAGGGAAAAGCAACCTGTCCTAGTGCCTCCACGTCCCCAAGAAGTAAAACCCTGCAAATTCTCGAAAGACTATCCAGAGAAGTGTCAGGCTGAGAAAAAAAAATTAATAATGTTTATATACACTTCTGAGTCTTTCATTTTACCACCGTATGAAAATATTATTGTATTTTTTAACAACTGGTAATCAATTTATTAGAAAGGCTGATTTAAGCATCTGCAATGGTGACTTCTACCTCGACTCCTGGCTCAATACTGGTGGACGTAATCTGCTTAACAATCACATGAAAATATTATACAACAGTTTAGAAAATTAAATCACTCATTAGGTCTACAATATAAAACATACAATAATTTAGAAATAGAACAATATAACTATTTTAACGTCAATCAAGATGCCCGGCATTGGTTGCATACTTCTTGCCTTAATTACCTTCTGCAAAGCAAGAGGTAGAAACAAATTTGACTCACTGTCAGCAAAATAAGAGCGAGGAATTTAGAAGCAGCTTTGATTTGCAGGTCTCTTTTTGTCCAGGAGAACAGTGAAGAACCCTTCAAGGACTCTTCCACAAACGTTTGCGTCCTTTAATATTGTTAGGGGCCAGCCCAGTGGTGTAGTGGTTAGGTTCACATGCTCCACTTCGGTAGCCTGGGGTTCGGTGATTCAGATCCTGGGCGCGGACCTACACACTTCTCTTCAAGCCATGTTGTGGTGGTATCCCACATAGAGGAACTAGAATGACCTACAACCAGGATATACGACTATGTACTGAGGCTTTGGGAGGAATAATAAAAAAAAAGAGGAAGATTGGCAACAGCTGTTAGCTCAGGGCCAATCTTAAAAAAAAAACCAACTATTTTTATTTAGTTTGGCTTCTGAAAACAGGCCATGGTCTACGTGTAAAAAGCCTGCCAAACATTCTTTACTTGATAAATTGAGATTTTTTCCAGGTTTCTCTTCACATCCGATTATTCTGCAGGGAGTGTGCAGTCATGGATGGTTGGCCCAGCACGTCACGAGGTGTTTGTTTATTGCTCCATTTTTCTGGCATACGCAAGAGGGGATCAGATTCAAAAAGGAAGAAAAAACCCATGGTTTTGAATAAGTCTATACTAGTTTTTAATGATTAAAAATTTGAGAGCCAAGACAAGAAAGAGCAGATTAAAAAGAAAAGTAGTTGAACAGAGAAGGAAAATGAGGCTCAACCATCTTAGAAATCAGAACAATTCATACGAGAAAGCTTCACCTGAGACTTCACTGCACCGCACTTCAGTTAAATGGCTCCTTGTACTGGCTGCTTCCCATGAGCTAGAATGTATGCTAAGGAATTAAAATGAAGATCTCATTTAATACTAAAGCAAACTTATGAAGGTCATACTATATTTACAACCATTTTACAGATTTGAAAATTGAGACTTAAAGGTGAAATTTTTGCAGATGCTAAAATAAAGGCAGAACCAACACACGAGTCCAGAACAATATTTGCACCTCAAGCCTCCTCACTTTTTTTGTTCGGTGAGGAATATTGGCCCTGAGCGAACTATGTTGCCATTCTTCCTCTTTTTGCTTGAGGAAGAGCGGCCCTGAGCCAATATCTCTGCCAATCTTCCTCTATTTTGCTTGTCGGTCACCGCCACAATGACTTGATGAGTGGGGTAGGTCCACGCCTGGAATCTGAACCCACCAACCCAGGCCGCCGAAGCAGAGTGCACTGAAATTAACCACTATGATGGCCTCTAAGCCCTATCACTCTTAACTATCACTCTGAAAATTACGCCAATCAAAACAATGATATCTAATACCCACTTTAATAGTTTAGACTAGATAGGCAGAACCGCAATGATTGTGTTGCTGTTTGTTCAGTTACAAATAAATTCGACATTCTCATAATTGTAAATAACCATTTATCAACCCTGAAAATCTCATTACACACTTTTTAATGTAATCAACACATTTCTTGGGATGTATACTCAATAACCATTCGTGAAAGAAAAGGACAGAGAAAGGGTCAAGCACTGAGACTATTCAAACGATTGCCAGTTTCATTAAGAATACAGAAATAAACATTTTCTTCGACTTTAATTGCATTCCGTCCCTTGTCATTAGTCATATTTCTCTTCTTGTTTTCTCAGTCATTACTAGAAGTAAAAGTCCATGAACTGAAAAACACCAAATATTTAATCCAGTTGCAATCCCAGACTTTAATGATAATATTTATTTTAGTGGGTGGAAAAAACAACTACCATCATATTATAACACACACATACACTTTGTCAGTAACTGAATTTAAAGCAATATTTGTTTATTTCCCTCATTTTAGGGATTTTAATCTCCAATACGGTGCAGTGAAGTGGTCACAGGGTTCGGAGTGTGAGCTCTACATTCCAAAGCTGTCACTCATTGGCTGTGTGCCTGGGACAGAGTAACAAGGCTGAAACTCTCCAAACTTGGATTTATGGGTGCCCAAGCTGCACAATGTCAACCCAGCCCTCCACGTCACACTTTTCACAGATCTCTCTTAAATCTTCCGTATTCTCCTTGGCTCCTTAAACCTATTTCTTCACTTTTGCTTTCAGTAGATAAGTTTACTGTTTTACCAAAAAGAGACCACCTGGTGGGCACCTTCCCTCCAAATGTCCCTACTTTCTGCTCGCCTCTGAGAGGACACTAGGACAATTCTTTCCTAACTCAATTCCTCTGTACAGTCTCTCGATCCAGTCTCATGATCCACTCTAAAATCTGGCTCCCTCTTTATTTTATTGTTCACTTCTAATATAAGGTTTTCTCTCCTCCCCCTTTTTTCAGACATGCCTAGTAATTAAATACGGAGAAATATTTGTCACTGAGTGCTGCCACCTTTCTTACACTACCTAATCATATAAACTACCTAAGAAACGAGCTCATCTTCTCACAGTCACTGCCCGAATCCCCACGACATAGTTTCTCAGGGTTGCCGTAACAAGGTACCACAAACTGGGTGCATTAAAACAACAGAAATTTATTCTCTCACAGCTCCAGATTCTAGAAGTCTAAAATCAAGGTGTCAGCAGGGCTGTGCTCTCTCCTAGCTTCTGGTGGTTACCAGCAAAACTTCACATTCCTTGGCTTGCTTTATAACTCCTTCCCTGCCTCCATCATCACAGGGTCCTCTTCCCTCTGCGTGTGTCTTCACATGGTGCTTTCCCTGTGCGTGTGTTTCTTCCCTTCTTGTTACGGGATTCCAGTCATGTTGAATTAAGGGCCCACCCTACTCCAATAGGACCTCGTCTTCACTTACATAGTCATTATATCTGTAAAGACCTTATTTCCAAATAAAGTCACATTCACAAGTACCAGGAGTTGGGACGTCAACATATCTTTTTGAGGGGTACAATTTAACCCATAACAACCGTATAGTTCATAGTCTACACCTCAAGTTTTACTCCAAAGGGTGTCCTACAGTTTTCCTTATCCTTGTATCCATTGCAATGAAACGACGCTCTCAAAGCTTGTTGATGAGTTCTGACATCTTGACATCAACATCTTCAGTACCTTTCTCTCATTTTTTTTAACCTCTCCAGCATTTGGTACTGTTGAGACCCATTGCTAGGAACTCTGTGATATAATTTGCTGTTTTCTCCCCTGACTTCTCTGCTTCTAAAAAGCCTCAATTGGTGTATGTCCCTGGGCACTTTTTAAGTTTTAGCCTTCCCTTTAATAAATATATCTACAGTCTCACTTCATTCAAGATTTGTATTTCTATCCATGACCTTATTACATCTTTCTATTGAATCCACCTATTCAATTTCAACAGATCTAAACTCAAGTTTATAACTTATCTTCCTAATATACTTAGTTCACTTGATCTTTTCTTTTCTCTCAATAGATACCTGGTTCAAAATTTTGCTGTTTGTTATTATTATCGTTTTATCTCTCTCCTTCACAATCAGTATTGACTTAATTACCAAATCTACTGGCACTTACAGGTTCATGTATATCTCAAAGGACATTATTTTTATTTATCTTGTTAGATTAGTCCTTTTCCTGAACTGTAGGGCTGGATAAATGAACTAGTTCTCTTCTGAAATTCATCTTTTATGTTTACACTAAAAAGCTAGCTTCTTGAATCTTCTTCTGTTATAGGTCGATCAATTTTAAGGTCTTTAATAAACCATTTTGCATCCCAGGTTTATTTTTTGCACAAAGAAAAATAATTCAGATTTCTTTAGAAAAGAAAAGTAATTATATTTTTAAAAATTCATTTTCTTTCTCTCTTATTCCCTAATATAGATTATATGATTTGTGTTATTATTCATCTTTTCAAAAAACAGCACTTTAGTTGTAATGATTGAATCTATTATTTTACTTTCTACACCATGATTTTTACTTTGATCATTATTATCTCCTCTACTGTCCTTTATATTATGAAATATCTCAAACACAGAAAAACACATGGGAGTGTAACAAAATATCACGTATAGCTCCCCAAACTTCAAAAAAGGTTGACATTTTGCTACATTTTCTTTAGTTACTTTAAGGAAAAAAAATTACATGTATATTTAAAGTGTCCTTTGTAACCCCTCCCCAACCTTACACCTGTTCCTCCAGCCCAGGGCATCTCTTCCCACTCATTTTTGCTTTATTAGTTATATATGAATTCTTAAATAAACTATACCATTATCTTAGGTGTTTTTAAATTGCAAAAGTGGTATAATACTGTATATATCATCCTGCAACCTGCCTTTTTCACTTACTGTTTTATTTATATTTTATATATCCATGTTGATACTTGTAGATCTAGTTAATTTGTTTTAAGTTTTTAAAAAGTGAATAAAATACAATTTATGTAGAACTTGCCTATTGCTAGTCATTGAGGCTTTGGACAGTCTTTAATTCGTACAAACAGGCTGTCCTAACATCCTGGCACCTACCTCCTTCTGCATATATGTAAGAATTTCTTTAGGGTGATGCTTAGCACAGTGCAGACAGCACACCCCGGAAAGCGCTTTTACATGAAGTAAGAAAAATATTAGAACTTCTGTGTACATTTATTTTTCACCAAAAATATTAATATTTAGTACATGAATTGAAAATGGTGCTTTTCAATGGTCAGAACACCTATAAATTGGGAATGCCTCATGGAGACTACACAAAATATTTGAAATATGAGTGGGAACCCTACAATGCTGAGGCATTGATGACGGCACACTTATCTATTCATTTTGCAGCATTTAACCATATACAGCTGGGTGGTTATACAGATTTACACATTATACTATCTCAGTTTACCCTCAACATGACATAATAGGATTTCTGCAAAGGGACTGTGTATCGAAAATCACTGTAATAATGCACATGCAAGTAAAAAACAAGAAAATGGCAGTCCAAGTAAGAGCTTCTTTTAAACCTTATTACAAGGTAAAAATTATGAAAAAATATTCATAATTGACAAGAAGTCTTTCGTCTTTAGCTTATCCTTTCCAGTTTGGTGTTGTGAATGCCTTATATTAACACAGTAATATATGTACATAATGTAGATAGTTCAAAAAATTAAATTTACACATATATATCAGGAGTTCATGATCAAAATTATTTTACTAATAGAGTGTAAAATTTTTAAACGTAGTGACACTGCTCTGGAAGTGAGACTTCTTTGCCATGAGGTATGCACAGTTTAAGCTTTATTATT